TTTACAATGGTGCGATTTTTAGGCTTTGTCTGTTTGCATAGTCTGGAGTTATCCTGAAGTACAGCTGTAAAACATACAAAAAAAAAAAGAAACTGCCTGTAAAAATTACATAACACTAACTGAATGATTTCCAATAGACTAATCAATAGAAACATTCATTGAGTATTTTTAAAAGAACTTATTTTTCCCCCAAAGAAACAGTTTTATTTCTCTTAACTTTTGTTTACTGTTAATTTTTAGCTAAGGTACCAAGTCAACGAGGAAAGGCAAGGAGTACTGAAGGATTAAACTAAAGGGGGACTGGGCCATAGCATCCGGGCAATAATCACAAGACTATCTGTTGACTTTCATAATCTTTGCCCTAGAGCCACGAGTTTTGATAGAAATTTACTTATTGCAATCAGTATAGGACGTCGCATTTTTTTCCAGTTCGACGTATTCGTCTCCAGACCTGATACAATCAACAAATTTGACCCTCCTTTCCCCTTCCTCCAGCTCTCTTAGTCTATTCAGGTTGCCGTAGATTACTATACTAGCAAAACATCTGAGTGAATAACTTACGTTTGGCTGAGTTCTCCTACATCTATCTGTTTGTTTCCCATTTCAAGTTCTCTGTCCTTGTTTTCAATCCAACTTTTATTCCCTTCTCAGACTCTGCAAATCCAATTATAGGTTAATTCAGTAAAATATCGAATGCCACTGAAAGACTAGGCGCGTCGAAAAGGAGTGATTAGTGGAACAACAGAAAAGAGAAACGCATAGAAAAAAGTTTCTAAAAAGATGTTGTATTGACCATATAGTTTAGAATAGTCCAAATAATGGCAAATTTAGTTGAGTATTTAATTTACTTTTTCAAGAATTGCTTTAAACTACCAGCAAAACATTGCTTAGATCTCTTACATTACCCAGATTCTGTTTTATTCCATCAACCTTGCAATCCTCCATGTCCATCGCAGTTATTATTTCCATCAATCAGTTCTGCCGGTAAATAAATACATCGACTAATTACTTCAAAAGAAAACTTCACCTTCGTCGAATAAGCTCTCTAATGTAACGTTAATTTGTCGTTAGAGTCTCAATAGCCATGACGTTAAATGATGTAAAGTTTAGGGTTTACTAAATCGGTGATCTCCAGAGTTCGATTTTTGGTGTCATTCATGGTCTCACAAAATATCTCAACAGACTTGTAACAATCGATTGATGAACAGCGACACACTTAAAATCTATGCAGTTTTCCGTTCAGGTCTATTGTCGAAACGTAAGCAAAAACTTAAGTTACAACATAGTTTGACAAGTCACAAGTCACAAGCTGAAAACTCCTTGTTCGATTCTATCCTCATCTTTTTCCGCTCTTGAGTCATTCGATTTCCGGCAGATTTTAATTTTTATTCTATACCTGACGCTACCTCAGGAGAAAAGAAAAGAATATGAAAGGAATACATGCTAACCTTCCTTTAGATAGGTACTCGTAATAAATTAAAATGTAGGTTTTTTTCGGTTCCGAAGTGAAAAATCATAACGGACAATTCCTTAATATATGATCGCCTAACGATAATAGTTTAGGGTATACCATAATGAGAAGTATGCCTTTTTTCGTTTACCCATTTTCGAGACCTAAAAAGATATCGAAATTAAGGGAATATTTGATTGAATAAACCGTCGCCACAATAGGTAGGTTGGATGGATTTAGTTTTTTTTTAACACCATTGATTTGTGATCAACAGAAACAAGTGATTGATCCAGCAAACCAAGAGCGCTGTTGGCTAAGAGATTAAATCAGCAGTCCATTAAATCCAGGTTTCACCCTTTTATTCCCATGAGTGATCAAGACAGAACTTCTCCTTACAATATTGATACAATATCAAGCAGACAATTGATGAGAAAAAATCAAAACGGGGATTTTTAGTTGTTCCAAATACCAAATTCTCCGAACTAATATCATGAAAATTGAATGGAAGACAGTAGGGAGAATTATTAATGAGATCCTACGAGTGAAAGGGTTAGGCGTTCAAAGTAGATCAGGCGCCGGCACAAGTGCAGCTACTCAATTCCTAATAAAAAATTGAATTACTAACCGTGTTGAACGCTGTCCAGTTTCTCTTTCCTTCCTCGAATTTCTTGTTTTGAGATGGTCTCATTCTAAGCTTGACCATGGTTGTGCTGAAGAGAGAACCAAAATAGAAGATATAATTTAAATCAATTTCGAATACGAGTATACTTTTCTTTGATTATGTGCAGGTATTTCAGTTTATTGTGAATAATTTGACAGATTTCTCTGACAGTTCACCGGTACTAATTTAAACTATTCATATTTATAGGTGGGGAAAAGAATTTTGGGGTTTAATTCTCTCGCCCAAGTACATAACACAGTGGCCCAGTCGGGGTTTAAACGGCTTCGATCCGACTTCGAACATGCGCAAGATATCCGGTGTTATACTAAACTTGAGATAAAACAGGAACTTTTTACATTCGCAGCACAATTTTGAAAGAAGGGGACTCAAGTCCTCTGGTTTCCTAAAAAGATTTTACGTCAAAACGTTTTCACAATCACCCGTCTGGCTCTACGGCGGTGGTTGGGCGTCAGGGAAGCAGCGAGAGTGTTTACAACAAATCTAATTTTGATATACTGAACGCATAAGTGACTGCATGTAGAATAAGAGTATAGAAATAAAAAGCGATAATAACTGCACATGTCATCAATAAACTAACTTCAAAGTAAACATTTCTCACAGTTGCTCCAAAAAATCGCATTTTCAATAAGGACTGTCATGGCAGCTGTAGTCAGGAAGTCGTCTTATTCTGTACCGTGTATGATATGCTTTTCTGTAATTTAAAATTAATAGTATCGAAGCCAACGGCGAGACACTACCTTTTTTTAAATATTTATTTACTCTTAAGTTATGTACCTCAGGAAAACTCGAGACAAAATGACTTCCATCAACCCTCGACGTCGAATTTGAGCCACACTACTCAGCAACTTCGAACGAAGAAACGCACGCTGAGCTCGACAGAACGGACCATACTGTATCTGAGGTTATAAAGTGGAAGTGATGTGTTTTGTGGCCCCAGAAAAGCTGCAAAAGATGCTGAACTTCTTTTACTCTTTCCACGTGCAAGACTGATCGCAAATATGGATATAAGCTTTTGAAAATTATTTGTAATTCAAATGAGTTTACCGACTTTGAAAGGCGAACCGAAAAGTGTCGAATAGCCCTTCGGTTACTGCCGTTCAATAATAAAACGAAATGGGATGGCCTGATGACGGCTCATTTCGAACTAGGTAAATGTCGAAAAATGTAAATATCGCCGTGGAAGCACTAGGTAAAACTCAAATGAAATAAAAGCTTGAAAAAAAATATACGAAACGAATAAATTAAAAATATTCCTTCATTATTCAAGGGACTAATTTTTAAAACTTGCCAGAGTTGCCATGTTGTATACCTCTATCAAACAAGCAGAAAACGGACTTTTTTTTTTACTTTTTGAAAGTGAAGTTATAAATATGTTTGTTCGTCGCAGTCGGAGCGAGTGAAGAAGGGCTAACTCTCGAAACGTCAGCCTAGACACTCTTTACGGTGGCCAATTTACGTTATCAACCCAGTTCATAAAACCGAATTATCTTGATATTCTCCCCCTACTGACGCAGCACCGTAGTTCCTCTAGAAACGTATCCCCTTCATTCATATCATATCATTCGTCCATTAGCCGTGTTGATCATAGATTAAGAATGAGGAAAAAGAAAATCGTTCAACTTATAGCAAATGAAAAGAGATGTCGAGAAGAGATGTAAAAAGTTAAGTTTTTTTACTTATATATTTATGTATTTACTGATTGCAATATTTTTGCATCATTCTCAAGCAGTGCTATTCAAACTTAGAACTATCGTGATAGAGGTGGAATTTTATGATTTACTTCAAATTAAGTGTGCAGTGCACTATACTGGAGTTGTTAGCAAAAATAGCAAGTTAAACTACGTCTTGCAAAAATATTCTTAAAAAGCTAAAGAAAGAAACCGAGAAAGGCTATGAAAACAACGCCTAATGCACGAAGTTCACCACTGAAACCTCTCGGAAATATTTTGAAACGTCGTCGTTTGCACGTTCCTAAGACAAGGGGCGTCTTTGTCAAGATCAGTTGTTTTGCCAGATAAGGGATTTGAAAGGAACAATTTTTGATGCAGGGAACTTTTTGAGAAGAGAGCAGTCTAAAACGACGTGATCAGTCATTTCAAAATATTTCCGAGAGGTTTCAGTTTCAGTTTCAGCGCATAAAAGCGCTGAAACTTGAACATCTTGAATTTATCTTAGAAAAGTCCGTTGGCACGAACATATCATTTGTTGGATGATAAATTCCAGAAGGCTTTCATCATACCAGTTCTTTATAAAGCGATTAGATAGCATAGTTTAAAAAGGAAAATACAAAACGTATCATCCAAAGCGTAACAAAGGTCTTTGCCGACGGTAAAGACGTAGGGTATGCCTACATTATTTAGCATTATTATTCTCCCGACATTAACAATTCCGTTTATAACGAAGAACTTTAAATAGACTCTTTGATATTTCTACAAACAAAGAATTGAGTTCCTGTTCAGACAACGCCTATAGATACTATCATTTACATCCTGTTTGGCAACGTAGCCAAAAGCCATATCCAATTAAAGACTACATGTAAGGAGTTTTAAGTTTATTAGAGTTTTTTCTTAGAGTTTAAAAACTCTAAAATCAAATTATCGATGAAATTTTTCCATGCAAAAGAAGCTAGGCGTTTCAGAGGTAGGTAACTGAGTTCGTTGAAGCGATCAGCCGTTATCTGGATTGGTTTAACCTCGTTAGAAGGGATAGTCAAAATTCTTTACTTTCTTCCTTTGGTTAACTGTAGTTTATTATATTAATGAAGATATAGTTGTCACGTATAATCCACTGTCTGTCATTTGTAAAATGATCGAGTGGGAATTTGTAAAGATAATACATCCTAATATGCTCTGTTTTTCCTCAGGAGTAATCTAGATCATTGTGATTAATTTCCGGCCACGCGCCAAGACTTCAAAGAGCTTTGATTACACTGAGGTTAAAAACCAAGTGAAGCTCAAGAACATCCAGGTCCTCTCTCAAACATTGATTGTCTTCTACTTTGCCCAGTGTCCTTGCCGGTATGGATTACTTCTCTTCATTTGATCGATAATATTTTGATGTTTTTATCTTAAACTAACTTAGCTGAGAAGCTGAAGCTGTCAACGTTATCGGAGTTTCCTTGAACAGTTTTGGCCATGATTTCGAAACGATTTGATTTTTTTGACTTTCTAATGAGTTTGAATTTCAAGTTTTTTCCATTAGTCCACTAAATCTACCTTGAAATAGGGCGGTCATCCATCGCTTTATTCTTCGATCAGATTTTTTAGTCATTTAGTAAGGTTTACAATTTTTTTTTTAAGAATCAGTTTTAATGAGAACATGTATAGGGAAAAAGAAAGATGGAATGAAGGATCTGCTATAAGTTCGTTAGGTTTTGAGTTTCAGATAATTCATTAAGAATACTTTTTCTCTGACTCGCGTTAATCCGTGTACTGTGTGCAAATGGTTGTAAGGGGAAGTGTGATCGCGCACGAAGCTATTTTACAACCTTGGTCGTTTTTAATTCATGCTGATAATTTTTATTCTGCGGTTCAACGTTGCGTAACCACCGGAATCTTTTGCATCTTTAATTTTCGCACAACTGAACTCCGTCAGCGACGCGGTTTTTTCACCTCTTAACCTCAAAATTGAACGAAATCGCTTCAGAATTAATTATCAGTATTGTTTACTTGCAAGCATGCAACAGATGGGCGGTCCATTCTAGAACAGGAACGGTCCGTTTCATCCAGTGGACGGTCGATAAGGAGTCTCTTGAGCGGACGACTGAACGGATCCGAAGAGAATTTGAGGATAGAAATGACCCTGACTGCCTACCTAAAATACTGACCCGAAAAATTTCAAACACATGAAATCATTCAAAAAAAACCTCGGAAATCCGGTTTTTAGAGTGATAAACATATTTAGAACCCACGCAATCTCTTAAGCCTCTGATCGTGTGTAGGAACATCTTGTGGCCGGTAACAAAGCCCTATTTGCCCAACCCTTCGGAAGATAAGTTCGACGAGAGGAAATCAAGAATAGCGAGTATTCTCGCGCAACGATTGAAGAATCGATCAAACGTCTATTTCATATTTCTTTAATAGCAATTGACATAGAGTCATTAGCGCAGCAAAGTAATTTTCGCCAATGTTGGAAAATGACGAAGAAATTAGAACCAAAATTTCGCAATTTGCGTGACAGATTGCGAGATAATGTGATGCGTATAGGAAGTCAAGAGCTTTAGGCATCGTTTGAAACTCCTAAATTATAACAATCATTAGCTAGTAAAAGGAAAAAGTCGATTCCGACTTGGTAAAAGCTATTATAGTTTTTTCTCTCGTTTTGTTTTACCATACTCACATTTACTCGGAGCTTTAACACTCAAATTTCAGATCCAACATTTGAAACTATGCAAGTCCTTTGTATTGTTCAGTTACTATTGCTGCTATCCTGGAGCAGTCCAACGATAGGTCAATGTGGAAATGAAGACTGGACAAGCACATTTGCAATAGCTGGTGACTCTACTTCTCAATGCACGAGTAGTGTCTCCTATGTCAATGGACTGAGAAGCGAGGGTTATGGTACCCTGTTAGAAACTGGACCTGGTGTTGTTAAGGCAGCTAAATGCTGCTCTGTTGACCAGCCATACTCTCAGGAGAGTAATGATTGTTATCAGGCCCAGTGGTGGACTGATTTGCAGCGGTATGTAAGAGTGCTAACATTTTTAATGATAAATTCCTCATTTAAGCAGCGACATGGTCATAATCGGATAGAGAAAATAATGGTTTTTCTAACTGGGCGGATGTTCGATGCTCTACCATCAAACTCAAAGAAATTCGCGCCTATTAGATCGTAGGCTTAGTTGATGCGAAACTACCCACAACACAGCTTTTTTATCTATTCATATGCCTACGTTTTTCGAGGAGATAATTGGGTAATTGATAATTGGATAAAGAAATATCCGGATTTTTCCATTGATAAATGAGTGGGTTCTCTACCCTCAACTACAATAAATTCACGACTGCCAGATCTTAGGCTTGGTTTATGCGAAGTTTCCCAAAAAACAACTTTTTCTCAACTTAAATGTACATTATTGTAGGAAGTTAACGATGCATGGTGACCACGCGAATAAGATTTACGTTACACAAAATTAACACGAATTTTCCACAAGTTAGGTCTACGTACATAAAATTAACGCGAATTCCTCCGGCGAAAACAATGTGCACCCAAGATCGAGGATATCTCGTGTATCGTACAAGCTGAAAGCCTTTCATGAAGCAAAACTCACGTCTGAACATGAAACAGATAATGAACATGATCGGTTTGTAGTCGCTGGACAAACAATTCTTCCGGGGACGCTATTTCTTTCCACTAAGTCAAACTAAGTGTTTTCCCATCATGATAGAACTGAGCCGATATATCCGGTTGTTGAAATAAACGTGCTGTAAAACAATAATGATGTACCATAGTTTAATTAACATTGCGATGTAATTGATTAGCACGGTTTTTTAAAAATAGCGTTGATAAAGTGCAACATTAATTTCCTATAATAAGGTATAAAATTCTATAAGGAAGTACTACAAGACCAGTTTAGTTTAATTATACGCGATCGCTTTTTAAAGTGATTCAACAACAATTACTCATTGCCTGGTTGTAATAACTCGACATTATTTTTCCCGAGCTAGATAAAAATTAATTATCAAATCCATCGAAAAAAATGCCAAGAAATTAACATCATTGATTTCAGTGTTTTTTCAATTTTTTTCAATTTCCCTTCTTTATGGGTAATTCAAGTTAGCTTCTCCGCAGAATATGTCCGAGATGTTTGCGCAGTCGTATCAGATCTCAGTCGTGCGCTTCTCTCCCTCCCATCCCCCTCAAAAAAGTAATACAGAAATGTAAACGATTATGGAAAGTATACGATTTAATTTAATTATATTTAGGTTTTCTTTTAATTTATTTTTCAAAATTTTCCAATTAGCCATGATTCGTGGGCATTGTGCGAGAGGCCGGGATACCATCTACGCGGGTTTTTCACCGTTGGGAGAAATTTCTTGGCTGACATCGGCGAGGGTGTTTGCTGTAAACCCGAGAGTCACCCAGATCAAGATGGACCATATAGCGATATCAATGTTAATTTCACAACAGATGGGATGAAGCAGTGTCCAAATGGCATGTTCCTTAAGGGATTGTACAAAACAACATGTTCCACGATAGACTGTCTAACGAAGATCAGATGCTCCGAATTGATTCCAGGTTGGCTTGTTATGCATTTTTGGAGCGGTGTCCTCTCTTTCTCAGTAATCTTTCATTATTATTACCTCTTTTTGACTCTGACAGTGACCAGCATCTAATTTCTCCTTACAATATCAGCCTTAAATCACACATTGAGCTCACGAGAATAATAGAAATGGTGACCAACTAGAAAAGCTCTTGATTGTTTAACAAATTCTCCTTGTCAGTACCCTGGGAAATGTATGGAGAATAGTAAGGATAATATGGATACTGACCTAAGGAAGACTCTAAGATTAAAAGTAACCACTTTCTCGCACCATTTGAAGGATCTTTTCTGCTAAGAACCGTTCCCCTGATTGGTTCTACTTTTTTCCTTTATCATGTGTACAAGGATATTGCTATTTGCACGTTGGTATTCTCGTTAGCACTAAATTTGTTTATTTCTGTTTAATATATCGGCGACCCGACCGCTCTTTTTCCACGAAGAAGCATTTTCTTTTTATCCGTGCTCTTTCTTTTCTTTTTCTTACTGATTTTTCACTCACACAGGAAGGGTTGACGGTGGCTGGTCAAACTGGGGAGACTGGAGTCCCTGCCCTGTGACTTGCGGGGGCGGCACTCAGATAAGATTCCGCGCGTGTTCAAACCCGCCACCATCAAATGGAGGAAGCAACTGTGTTGGAGATCCGGTGGAACTACAAGGATGTAACCTGAACCCATGCTGTATGTTCGACAACTATTTTGCATATAATGTTGCAAAAATATAAAACAGCGGCTGGCCAGCTTAGCAGCCGTAAGCAGGGAGACAGATGGAAGACATTAGCTACAACGTTTACGATTCCCTTCACCCATTTTCCCAACTTTTCTAAGCAAATGGGCCAATCAGAGCATGGCTTACTCGTATCATGCTATTTCATACAGAAAGAATAATGACAAATGGTAAATTTTGAGTAAAATCGATGAATTATACGGCATCTTCTTGAGGTAACGATCGAACTCAATGTCCTTGATCTGAAAGATGTCGGGATATGGGGGAGGGGGGCACATCTTCATTCAGCCAAGCGTATACCGCCGTTCTTTGCGTTGTTTAGAGGCTCAAGCAAAACAAACTTTACAGTCTTTTTTTTATAAACGTTTTGTGACAAATTAGAGTCTTTAGCATATAACTTCTCTAAAAGCTGATTATTTGCCAAGCCAATTTTGTTGCTTTTGAGAAACAGCAATCAAGGACGATAAATTTCGGCAAGGTGGGTACTCAAAAACGAAATTCAGTTTGCTGATAAATATTGCTCCCAGTACTCAAACGTTGTTCATTGTAGAGGAGATATATGCCACTAAACGCTTACCATTTTCCAAGGCTGTAAAACGTATAATTCATAATTTGCAAATCTCTACCGTGACATGTGGCACAACCTTACGCAGTGCAGTTAAACCCCGAAATTAGCACAAGTTGCTAATCAATTTTAATAGAGCTTGACACTCATGTGTTTTTCTTCTTTTTTACGCCCTACAGAGACACATCGCATGCGCCTGAAGAAGCCACAAGAAAGATGACAACTGAAAATAATGCTGCACTTAAAATCATGTCACAGTATCGCTGTTAAAAAAAATTTTTAATGCAATAAAAATGATTTGAAGATTTTAAAAATTGTTAAAGATTGATTTTTCTCATTTAGAAAGAAAGTTCTACCATGGATATCTCTCAAGGAAGAAGAGTAAAAAATATTTCAGACTCATGTTCAACTCGCGCTGTGAGACTATTTGTCAATCACAACCTTCCTTTGTTCGCACTTTTAAAAAAACTAATTGAAAGAACAAATTAATTGCAATACCGATAAAATTGATTCTATTACAAAGCCGAGAGAATTTTCCTTACCTTGAATAAAGCTTTTTCTATGTATCCATCTATTGCTGAATTATGAACATTATGAAGCAGCGCACCATGCAGAAGTGCAAACTCTATAACAGAATAATGCGTGGTTCTTACAACTAAAAGTCGAATTTATTTGCTCTACAATGACATCAACCGGCATGGAGTTGTTGATGCATTATTGAAAACGTGTTTTGCATAGCCTTCGATCATGTTGCGGACCTCGTGAGGTATTCTTTTAGGGCTTAGAGGCCATATTCCTGCATTGCAATCGGATGGCTTCCTTTGAATTTTTTTTTTTTTGCTGTTAGATTTTCGAGAGATCGTGATTAATAAAGACATGAAAGAAATTGGTAAAGTGTGGCACTGAATCTCAGTGCTTGATGCACAAAACCGTCCGTCAGCATGCACTTCACCACATATTGGGATTGCAACATATCCAAAATATTTTAATTCGCGTGCAAACGAGCAACAAGGATTTGGAATAGTCTGACCGAGGACTTGAATCAAACTAGGAATAATCTTACCACAGAGAGCAATGTGGAACTTTGATGTTACGTACAATGTTCAGCTAACTTTCATTTCATTGACAACTGAAAGACGTTCAATCTATTTTTCTCAAATGCAAGTCATTAATATATAATATATCTATCAACTTACTGCTCTCATTCTATTTTATTGCTTCAACATCAAACAAGCTAGAACTTGTGGCCGTACTAATGTAACTTCCACTGCCATCTCTTCTTGCTTTTGTATCGTAGCCGATTTTGGATTTCGGACGCTCGTGGCCGATTTGTATTTTGGACACTAGTGGCCGATTTTGGATTTGAACACTAATGGCTGATTCTGAGTTTTAGACAATAGTAGCCGATTTTAAACTACGAACATTAGTGGCCGATTTATGAATTTTAGACACTAGTGGCCGATTTTAGATTTTGGACACTAGTGCCCGATTTTAGATTTTGGACCCTTGTGGCCGATTTTAGAATTTGGACACTAGTGGCCGATTTTAGATTTTGGACACTAGTGGCCGATTTTAGATTTTGGACACTAGTGGCCGATTTTAGATTTTGGACGCTAGTGGCCGATTTTAGATTTTGGACACTAGTGGCCGATTTTAGATTTTGGACACTAGTGGCCGATTTTAGATTTTGGACACTAGTGGCCGATTTTAGATTTTGGACACTAGTGGCCGATTTTAGATTTTGGACACTAGTGGCCGGTTTTAGATTTTGGACACTAGTGGCCGATTTTAGATTTTGGACACTAGTGGCCGATTTTAGATTTTGGACACTAGTGGCCGATTTTAGATTTTGGACACTAGTGGCCGATTTTAGATTTTGGACACTAGTGGCCGATTTTAGATTTTGGACCCTTGTGGCCGATTTTAGATTTTGGACACTAGTGCCCGATTTTAGATTTTGGACACTAGTGGCCGATTTTAGATTTTGGACACTAGTGGCCGATTTTAGATTTTGGACGCTAGTGGCCGATTTTAGATTTTGGACGCTAGTGGCCGATTTTAGATTTTGGACACTAGTGGCCGATTTTAGATTTTGGACACTAGTAGCCGATTTTAGATTTTGGACACTAGTGGCCGATTTTAGATTTTGGACGCTAGTGGCCGATTTTAGATTTTGGACACTAGTGGCCGATTTTAGATTTTGGACACTAGTGGCCGATTTTAGATTTTGGACACTAGTGGCCGATTTTATATTTTGGACACTAGTGGCCGGTTTTTAGATTTCGGACCCTTGTGGCCGATTTTAGATTTTGGACACTAGTGGCCGTTTTTATTTTTCAGACACTGGTGCCTGATTTTGTATTTTGGACACTAGTGGCCGATTTTGTATTTTGGACGCTAGTGGCCGAGTTTATATTTTGGACACAAGTGACCGATTGTGCATTTTGGACACCAGTGGCTGATTTTGTATTTTGGACACTAGTGGTTGATTTTGTATTTTGGAGACAAGTGGCCGATTTTGCATTTTGGACGCTAGTGATCGATTTTGTATTTTGGACACCAGTGGCTGATTTTGGATTTTGGATTTTGGACAGTAGTGGCTGATTTTGGATTTTGGACACAAGTGGGCGATTTTGCATTTTGGATGCTAGTGACCGATTTTGGATTTTGAACACTAGTGGCCGATTTTGGATTCTGGACAAAAAGTGACCGATTTCCGATTTTGAACACGACTGGCCGATTTTTTATTTTGGACATTAGTGGCCGATTTTGTAGTTTGGACACCAGTGGCCGATTTTGGATTTTGGACGCTAGTGGCCGATTTTGGACATTTTGCATGGGATTTTAAATTGCAACATTACCATTTACTATCATTTTACAACCTTTATACCTTTATATCAGTAGCCAGATGCAGTCTCAGACTGCCTAGTTTTTGTAGTATACAACCCGAGATTAAAAATATTAATGTGATAAGTAACGAGGGTTGCCATCAACATCGCGGTACTTCTGATACATAATTGGATATGCAAAAGAGGGGTAGCCCCTAAGTAAACTCAAAACGTTGCCAGTATCACTATCGCAGAGGTCTGAGCGGACAGCAGAGAGAACATATCATAGAAATACGCTTCTCACAGCGGAAAAAGACTATGTCGTGAGAAGAGGGTTAGTGTTTTCATCACCATAACTCATGGGGATATTTTGCCGCCAAGAAACGGAACTAGCGAGCCAATGACAATAGATCTAAAGAGGGCACTAATAAAGTGAAAAATAAAATTGATTGCTTAGGTTTTGACTGACGAAGGATTTTAAGTATTGCCACCTTTTTGTCTTTTATTGTATATATTTTTTAGTATTTAGTTGTTGCTGTCATCTAATTTTTAGTTCAGTTTTTAGTACATAATTAGACAATGGATCACCTGAAAACCAGTTGATTTTGGTAAGCGAAAACTCCACGTTGAATTAAGTATCGTATCGTGTCGTATCGTTGATATCGCCAGGCAGCACACTCTTGTAAAAACTTCATAACAGAAATATTTTGAATACTTGCACTGTAGTACTGCACTTTTCGATACTTTAAGCTACAGGTACTATATGTCGTTGAACATGCTTTATTGATTATGCTATTTACATTGCCGTCAATCAAACGACCGACTTGGCGTGATGTTTCGGAGGGTTCGAAAAGTCATTTTTTAGAGCTTTAAAGGAACACACTGTACAAAGTTACATATGGTGGAATTTTAAAGATGATTTCAAAACAGGGTGACTTCGCAACATGTTAGCATTTCTAGATGGGGTGTTCCATTCGACGGTAACAAAATGTTAATTGTGCTCTTTTTTACAGCAAGTCAGTCTCTTCAGAGGCTGAATGCTTCGCTTAATGCAGGGAAATTGTCCCTGTTAACATCATGTCTGCGAAAAAGTTAAAAAAGTATTTTGCAAATCCACTGCAAAGGAGTCGTGATCTTAACTTTTGCCAAATGTTTGTGAGAAGCATGAATATCATCCTTTTTCTACTTATTTTTTTTTTCTTCCAACTCCTCTCATTCAGTCCCAGTACTTGATAAGTCCATCCCAGCCACAGGTTACCACCTTTGACGTCTCATGAGGATGCCACAGGCAAGCGATGCAAACTGCGTCGTGTGCTTTGAACTTGCTGTAAGTCAAAAACAAAAAAATTTAACAAAGAATGTGGCACTATTTTGGTAAATAAGACAAAAACAACGAGTTGTTGCGACAAGGTTAATCATTTTCCCTAGTTTCCCCTACACTCATTGAGAAGTGTGTCGACAAATCCAGTTTTGAAGTCTCTCATAGCAGATTAGAGCACTTAAGGATACGTTTGACCTTCGAGAGCAAATCTATTTGAATTTTCTTTTTCATGTCAAACTAAGCATTATCATTTTAACGATAGCTTCCAACAAAAATTTTGGAAAAATATTCAAACGCCTATTTTCGATCTGACTTATTTAATATTTATTTATTGAATAGCCAATTATAACATGTCAACATAAATGATCCCGAAGAGTTTCTAGCGGCAAAACATCTTGCTCCTTGTATTCCAATCGCGTAAACATCTCCTGATTTCGGTTGCACGCTCATGGAGATCATTTCTATCTATGTTAAGTCAATGTCACTTCTCTATATCACTTTAAGGCCATACACTAACATCAGAGAAATGCCTAGTCCATGATTGATACACTTAAGTGTAATTGCAAGCCACGAGTTACCAAAAACACCCTTCACTTCTGTCAAGTCAAAAAGGACCACAGTAGCCTAAATATTTGTAGGTGTAGCGAGGGCGATTTGGATAAAAGTAAGCAACAACTCCTCCACAATAATAATTTCTAATAATGTTAATACTTATATAGCGCCGTATAAATGTGAATATGATCAAATACGTTTTAAAATAACTGAAATAAATATGTAAACCTAACAATTAACAACAATTAAACAAATTTGTTGTATGCAAATCTTGCGACTATCGACATTACTAACATCTGTATACAATCTGATACCTTTCTTATAAAAATTTACACTAACAATTAACAATTAACAACAATTAAACAAATTTGTTGTATGCAAATCTTGCGACTATCGACATTACTAATATCTGTATACAATCTAATACCTTTCCTATAAAAACTTACAATAAAATACTTTAAGAGTCAAAATACAGATATTATTATATATGATACAACTTATAGTCAGACGTATAAATGCATAAATTTGTTGTATGCAGATCTTACGATCATCTACATTACTAATATTTCTATATAATCTAATACCTGTCCTATAAAAACTTATAAAATACTTTAAGAAGCAAAATATAGATAATAATTATTATCTGTGATACGATTTATAGTCAAATGTTCAAAGAAATAGACAAGTGAACGTCCTATAGAAATATTATAAGCTGACTATAAACCGAGGAATAAACGGAAAATCATTTTTCCTACGGTTCAAAAAAAGAAAAAAAAATAGGAAAAAAGAGGCTGATATTACCTGTAGAGTTTTGTTGATTTCCAGTCCCATATACAAAGTTTGCCATCTGCATCGCCGGAAATAAGATAACTACAACAACAACAAAAGTACATTCCCGAAAATTATAGTGATTTTAATCAATATAGTTGAAAAAAAGGTCAAAGAAAATCCATACGAAGATCATGTCGATGTATGTATATTTTTACTGGAATTTGATAGCAATGGAAGGAAGACCCCGATAAATATTTTCTACACAGAAAGAAATGGTGTGATGAGGAAGAATAAGAAAAATTCTTCAAACTGTTTTCACTTAAGACATTAATTTTTTTTTTTTTGGATTCATTTTCAGATAGGTACGAGGTTGAGAACAACGTTTTCGGTTTACCTTCCATCCGGTGAGAAATTTAACTGACAAGCGTAGCCCGCAACCTAAACAAAGAAGTAGTTGAGATTTATGTAAGACAATCGCATCAAAAGCTAAAGAATAAATAGATCAAATGGCTCGCTTCTCACCATGTGGCCTTTAAACGTTTTCTTTCGGTTTTGACGGAAACGATTTAGTACTGCGAACACCATGATTTGGTTGTCCATGGACTGACATGCCATCCATTTGTCTGCAGAAAGAACAAAGTCAGTAACTTCATCTGCTTTCTAATTCTCTTTTCAAGCTACTACATACTCCCTTAAGCGCGAGAATTTAGTGTTTTATCAGGAGAAAACCATAAAGCTCACCACTTTTTCTATTGCTGAATAACATATTTTTATTGTAGTAAGGCATAGTAATCGTCAAAGAGACATCTTATTTAATAGGAGCATGCAGTGAGTCATCTACCAATTGTCGTTCCCATCACACTTTGCACTTGGTACAGTCGTCAAAGATCTTATGTAATAGCGGGGAAGTACGAGCCTAATAATTTCACGGTGGAGGTATCAGGTTATTTAAAAACACAATGAAATTTAAAACGAGCAACTTACTGTTGGGGTGAAGAGCTACTGCGGGCATGGAGTGCATACTAGGTTCGGCAATATACTTGAAATCCACAGGAATGTCCCTGGTTCGAAAAATGAAACTTAAGAGTCAGATGACACAGTCTGCTATGATTCTGAGAAATTCGCCCTGTGCGAGTAAAATGGGATCGAAAGAAAGAAAAGTGGAGGAAGAAAAAGATAAAAAGATGAATAGCTAACTGTGTGTTCCTCGTCTATTGTTTCCGGTCGAATCGGAATTTAGAGTGTCAGAGAGCCAAGAGAAAAACCCTCGAGGAAAGGCGAGAATAATCAACAGACTCAACCCAAATGTGACGTTATGCTCGACAATCAAGCCAAGGTCACAGCAATAAGCATTTCCACCTAAACGGTCATAGCAAGAACTTGACGAACGATGGCTGCTTTTTATAAACACGAATGGACTAAGAAAGATAACAACACAGTTACTCACCATTCCCATACTCTGATACTTTTGTCATCAGAAGTCGTCACGAACCTTCTGTTTTGATCCACAAACGTTATCGTGTTAACCGCGCCAAGATGTCTGAAATGGATTCAATATTTTAGACAGAGCTCTCTTTAAGGTAACACAACTACATGTACTTTTAAAAGTACGAAGTTCATGGTTTCGTACATTTGACTTGCATTTTCGAGGCTTTTTATTTACGTCTCATATTTACCCTCTTGGAGAATTGCTACCTCACAAACTCATAATTTCGATGTTTTTTTCCTTGTTCAGAAGGCTTAATTGTGATTCGATGTGACCAAAAATGACTCAAAACACTGTTACACACTTGTACCATTGCCTCTAGGTAAACAAGTTAGAAGTTTTGACCAACCTGTCATATTCTTGAACAATTTCGTTCGCTCGCGTGTCCCACTAGAATCACAGATATAACCATTAGTAATTTGTTAAACGCCCGGAATTAGGAGCTATGCGCATTTTCTTTCTTTTAAACAGATGGAACATTCGCAATGTTCTCCAGCACATTTTGCTGGGGCACGTTCTTAAAAAAGTATGTAACACCATCAAAACGGTGGCATAGTTTTGTTTTCCTAGGTTGATCACTCATGTACTCTAAATAATATCGTCTGGAAGAAATTTTACATCGATAAAAAACTTTAACATTCAACAGCAAACGTTACTTCGACTGAAAGATTTCCAATTGTTACCGTTAATATTTTCTTGTCTGATGTTCCACAAACGAATAAATGCTGCTTATCCTGAGAAGAAAGAGAAAAATGGTTTTGTCCACGCAAATCGAGGAAAATCTTGCAAAATTGGCAAACAACTATTATATTAATGAATTTAACATTTAACAGCAAACGTTACTTCGGCTGAAAGATTTCCAATTGTTACCGTTAATATTTTCTTGTCTGAAGTTCCACAAACGAATAAATGGCAGAGTAACGGTAGATCTAATCCGGAGGTCGTGGGTTCGATTCCCACCGAGGTCAAAAGATTTTTTCTTTGCCTCGTGTGGTTCCCTGTTTCCCTTTATTAGGGCTAACGCCCTGTGGGTTATTCATGGGTTTAAATAGCACTTTAATTTACACTTCAGAGTTAATTCTCTGTTTCACCAACTATTATATTAAGTTTGAGCAATAGTCCATTTTACAGTTGTGTGCTTGGTTGCCAAGCCTTTGAACAGGAGTGAGGCTAAGGGTGACCTTGTTATGTTACAAACCTTGCTGCTTTTGAAATGCAAATTAATTTGTTATCATGCTAACTAGATTCTGGTCTCTAACACAACAAGGTCACCTTCAGCCTCACTCCAAATCAAAGGCTTGGCAACTAAGCACACAACTGTAAAATGGCCTATACCTCACCAGTTCTATTTCAAAACCATAAGGTGTGTACCTTACCTCGTCAGGATTAAACTTGACACAATACGGAATTTTTCGGTTGGTAAAACGTCCAGTGCACTGCCCTGTAACGTATGTGTCATATAAATGCTACCAGGAAAATATAAATTTGAATAGAAATTCACTGTAACGTTGACAAAAATGAAGACATTTTTTTCAAGATTCCCCACCTGTTTCTGTGTCCCAAAGTTTGACATATCTGTCATAAGCAGCACTTAGAAACTGTGCCCCACTGTTGTTAAACGAAATGTCACGAACAGCTTTACTGTGACCTAAAAAGGACGACGACATATTGCAATATTAACATCTTGTGGGAGACCAACCTTCATCTGTCACGTAGACATGTTCTGAGACTGAAGATAAACCTAGGTGGGAAACCGGGTGGGAATAGGTGAAATGCCCCCTATGTCACTCAGTCCTCTCGTCTTAAACATTCCCACGTCCTTTCTATGCGCTTATGAAACAGTAGTTACTGGCTCGTTTATTGATTACGGCAGAGGAAAGAGTCAGAACAATTTTGTGAAACCACGCAAGCTTATCAAAGTTTGGAAAATGTACACCTCGTGGACTAAATTTCATGTAAACACGAAAAATTAATTTATTTGCTTTAATGTGTGGCGCATTATGCTGTGCAAAGGCAAACTCAGAAGAAATAAACGAAAACATACCCATGAATGTTCTCAAACAACGTCTTTTGCCGTAAACTTCCCACAACTTGAACCGACAAAATAAACAAAAGAAAAACAACATCATAATAAAATAAAAAAATTGGGATGAGATACCCCACAATCAGCATTGCAGCACAAAATTTCGTGACTCAGTGGCTGATATTTTCAGCTCTGGACCATTACTAGTGATAACGGAGCACAAAAACGACTCGTGCTCAACAAATGCGCTGATGCTACATGTTCATGTTATCTTGAAGTGAGAGGGAAAATTTCCTCTTTGACTGGATGGGATGTAACTCAGGAGTATTTAAGTTCTTATGCAATTCTAATGGCTAAATGTTAAAATATTTGATTGGCATTGCTCTCCTCTTCCTATCATACATTCCACCTTTAAGCTAGATAACACGTTGCTGCTGAAAAGGAAAGTTTCATGTCATCACCTCATAGTAGAGTTTTGTAACTGAGATACATTGTAGTTTGGTGGTACTGATTCAAGGCTATTCTGAGTGCCTCAGTTAATAACATATTATGTTATTAACTATTATGTTATTAACTGAGGCATTCCACCTTTTGGATTGAAAGAATCCCTAGATTTTTTGATTAAGCAAGTGACTGTCTAGCCATTTGTTCTACTGGCCAGACCTACCTTAATTTTGCAGTCCATACTACAAGACAGTAACAGGTGAGCTGATGTTGGAAAGAACCTGATGGAGGAGACACCCTTTGAGTGTCCAGTCCTAACGAGAGATAAAAAACAAGACACTCTGTAAACAGCACTGTTGACAAAAATTATTTTGTTGTTGTTCATGTTTGAAGTAGTTCAAAGAAAGTCACACTGGATATTGTAGAATAATTTACAGGACAAAGGATTATCCAGTAGGTTGTGCAACAATGATCATTGAGCCTCTGGTTAATAACAAAGAGGCCTATGTTTTTAATTTTATCTCAATAATTCCTTTTTCAGAAAATAATGCTTATGAATCACAAAGCAGTAATTTTTTCAAATAAGTGCTTCAGTATCACAATCTTCAATTGCAGTTGATTATCACAAGATAAGATGTATTATTTGACAAATCATGCTACAAGAACAGGTACATGTTCATGATATGCTAATTAATAATAATAATAATAATAAATTTAATACTTATAAGGTACATATACTCATTTACATGTGCTCATATGCATGCAAACAAATAAAGAAGTATTTCAAATATACATAAAGTGTTTGAAAACCCTAACTAAAAGGAGGCAGACCAGTTGGCTATTTACAAAGCACAGCCAAGGAGTTGAACTCGGGGCCACCAAGAGCAAATCCAGTGAGTAGCAGGGCAGAGGACTTGAACCTGGGACCACCAGATTATAAGACCAGGGCCCTAACCACTCAGCCATGCTGTCTCCACAAGAATTCACATCTTTCTCCACAAAACTCTCAACTTACTGACCATGTGTGAATGTGTTTTTTCGGTAAGTAACATCTCTCTGGTGGTTCATCTGTATCCAGTTTCACATCCAGATCTTTTGGAATGTGAAGATATGAGCGACCCTGATAATCCACAGAATCTTGAACTGAAAGGAAAAAGAAAATCAAGAAATTAAAGTAAATCACAGTATTTTTAGATAGGGATAATCTGCACACAATCATGTACAAGTCGTGAACAAAGACAGAGGTGACAAGAGGATGGCTCCATCTGAAGTCTATACACATGTAGTTGTGTCTATGAAGAATCACTGTCATGTACAAACAGTATTTCAAGGTTGCAAATAGCTTCATATACAAGGATACAGTCATGTAAAATCAGGCGTTTCAATGAAAAGCACTTACTGGCAGTCTACTGCTGCCTCTAAGACCTCTCACGGCTGTCAGTTTAGCCTGCCAAACAAGCTCTTTTTTGGGTTTCCCCTTACAACAAGCTGCCATTATGCTATTTGCAGCTGTTTGTGGAAAGAGTTGCCAAAACTCCTGAATTAGAATTTGTACTTGAAATTGACATTTTCAAAAATTGTGAATAAATAAAAGTTTTTCTTTCAATGAACAGTGGATGGATTTCTAATGAAACCATTTTTTTTTTTAATCTGCTAACTCTAATATTTCAGTCCAAGCCTATACATTCCCTCACCATGAAGAGTGGTCTTTTCTTCCACAACTTGTTCTTCTTTCTTAGTTCTCTTTTGCTTTGTCATCTCAAACTCTTCAAGCTTAGCTGCTTGTTCCTAAAGACAGAAAAAAGTTACATTTTCTTTCCAAAGGTCAACAAATGTCAACTGATAAATTTAATTTTATTAAAAAACTTTCTACTAATTTCACCTCAGATGGCTTAGCAACTTTAGCTTCATCAACAAATGTTGCCCATGGACCTGAAAGGGAAGGTTAATGTCATTAAATCTTCTATGCAAAAATAAGAAACTTCAGATAACTCAGATTTGCACCACAAAATATCACAAAAACAGAATGGTATGACGAGAAATAGGAAAATTGCCTTATTGTATCAAACTATAGTACATGTACTTCCAATATAATCGTTATGATAAAAGTTGGTCACAAATTCAAAAAATATATTTCATAGTAAATTATGTAAACTATGAACAATGTAAGTTGCTCTTTCTTTGTATTCTTTACCTTTGTATCCTTCAATGTCTCCTGGATCACCAGGTTTTTCTCGTTTTCTTTTGTCACCTGGGCGAGCTTCTGTTGCTTCAAATATTGTCAAGCCTGGAGAATACACATATAATAACTTATACCCTATGGTACAGTTCTGCCACAATTATTGTGCTAACGAATGGACAAGCAAGCACATTAAAAACAACCACCAAAAACAAAAAAAAATTGACAAAAAAAAAATCACCCAGTCAAAACACACTGAAATTATCCACAGAAATGCTGAAATGCTCCTTGCAAGCATGTAACTAATGGTACATACCCTTCTTCTCCTCTGCTTTTTCTACATCTCCAACAAACCTATTTATAAATTGCAACGTTTCGATGAATAATTAATCAAATATACAGGATAAAAAAAATCTGCTGGTTGAAAAGCTGTTTCAAATGTACATTATGTTGCTGGCTGCCATCTGTTTTGGAATATCTATAAAGTCTTTTAGGTAAGAGAAGGAAAAAGAGCATTCTACATGTACATCAAAACTCTCCATTAACCTCTTTCCTTTCTGTACCTTGAAAGTTAACACAATGGAAGCTTTTTTTTCAGCTGTCTCATTGGCCTTAACCTATTAACCCCTGAGAGTGACTAGTGTCTAATTTCTCCATACAAATCACCAGTTAATCAAACGTAAAGGCTATAACAACAAAAAGAAATGATCAGCATGATAATAGGCTCTTAGTTGTTAAATAAACTCTCCTTGTCAATAAAATGGGAAATATATCGAGCACAGTATATTCATAGAAATTCTGTGAAGACAAACCTGTCCCCACTTGTGCTGGCTCCTCCTGTTACACTGGGATCAAGGGCATAACCTGACAGATTTCATACAACACTGTTCAATTCAAATAGTTATTTCAGAAATACATTGAGTAAAACTATTCAAGCTTTCTAGATTTATCACAGCTGTTTTCATATGATAAATGAACAATGATAAACACTAATACCTTTAAATCTACAGAAGAAAAATAGAATGACTATGACTGAAATATAAACCCTCTAACTCCCAGAGGTGATCAACATGTAAGTTCTCTCTATAATATCCATACACTATCCAGCAAACAGGTTAGAAGATTACTCAAATTTATCAGGCAGAAGTTTTAATCTTGATTTAACACCAAATTCTTGCAATAAATTTAAAAGGAAATGTGTAGCAGCTAGAGGTGAGAATTAACAATCAGATCTTGGCAGTTAAAGGGTTAAAAGAGGTTGACTGTTAATAATGACAATTATCTGTATTGCCTACTTATGCTATAAGACACTGAACTTTGCTGAATATCCTCACCATAACTAGTAAATGTTCTTCTTTGAGTTTCAAATGTAAAGTCACTCATGTGAGCTGGTTCAACATAACCTGAAACCAAATCAACAGATTGATTTCTGGGCACATGTGCAGAGCTGTCATTAAAAACCAAAAATAAATGCAGGTGGCAGCTCAACTTGTATGAAAATCAAACTTATTATAAAATCATGTTACCAGCTAGCGCATTCTTTGGAGCACTTTGCTGCCTAGTTTTAAAGGGATTTGATGGTCCAACCTATCCACAGACAGTAGAAAAGCATTGATATATTAATTTATAAAACATATTAGTTAACTTCAAATAACATATGATACCCTGAAACTTCATCACCCTGCTCTGATAAAACTACTTGGCAATTACATGAAAATTTGCAGTAAAATTCATTGATGTACAAGTTGTGTTTTCAGTTGAAAACCAAGGCCCAGTTCTTCAAAGGCCAATTAGCCCTAGCCCAGGGTTAAATTTTAATCCAGGTTTCTATATTTCTCCGTTCAAAAGCCGTTTTGGAATAATTTTACCCATTGTTTTAAGAGCATTCAATTATCAAATTGTAGTCAAAAAGAAATAAACTGAATTTGTTCTTCAAACTTTCAGATCTGAAATCAAATTTCACACTAACCCTTGGTTATCTTAACCCAGCTTTGAACAACCCGGCCCACGCTATAACGTTTTTCGTTGAGCACTAGGCGGGAAGCCTAAAGATAAAAGTTTTCCAAGATAAAATTGAACTGTGGAGTGTTCCATGCACTAAATTTTCACCTCAGGGGAGAACATCTCCTCATATCGCGGATTGTAAGTGACCTCCTTGGTGGTGGGATCCACTTGTCTAATCACACCAACAGCCTCCTTAGGGATCAAAACAAATCACTTGTTAAACCTTCTTATAATCCATCTGATATTTTCGCATCTTGAGAAGCGCGAAGAATTCACCAAACCTGACTGATTCGTTACCAACCTTTGCAGTGACAACAGGGGCACTTTTAACCTGAACTTTAGATTGAAGTTGTGAAATTGAGACATTAGAGTTCAGATGTGCCGTATGATCTGCTGTAGTTTCCTCTTCAGGACTTTCATTTCCTTCAGAATCGCTGTCATCACCATAGGCATTCGCAAGAGCTTCTATTGCCGCCATGTTGTTTTGGAGTTGGCCAGGTTACGTAGTAAGCATGAGTTTGGCCCGGTTACTCTGTCATGTAAGTTACCACAGAATGTTCCAACAAACGATAGCTCGACGGGGAAAAATTACGCCCGGTCAGAGTAAAGGGGCATTCAGCGGACACGCATCTGGAGCTAAATATGCATACATGACAAAAATAACACATAAAATGATTGATGTTTCTCGTGCAAAATATGAATGTTAGTCAACTTCCACATGGAATGGCTGTTACTGACCTATGTTTTGTAAAACCCCATGTCAGCTTACTTTATCCAGAACTGGGAATGCTACCGTGCGATTTGAAATTTTGGGGGAAGATCCGCGCGCAGTTGCATATTTAATGTCTGTCCAACTATTAGACAAGAAATCGATAATGAGCATGAAATAGTTTTTACAATTATTGTACAAAACTGACAAAAGACAAAAACCAAGAAAAGCAAAACTAAAATCAGTTCCCTGTTTCCTGCTCAGTAGTCTGTACCTTCACAATGTTATGATGTATATCACTGGCTCTCAGTAAGGGATCTAATTTTGGGGCCAAAATGAAAGTATTTTGGAGGGTATGTTTTATAGGCGAAGAGAAAATTCAAAACGTTCCTTTCGTGTATCAGCAAAGCCACGAACATTTCAAGTGTTTCATTGATAAAGTTATATTTACATAATGTGTAATTTTCCTCTTTTCTTCACACAACCCCACAAGCTCGTAGCTTAAAATATTATCGTGTATAAATAAAGGTTATCTATCTATCTATCTATCTATCTAGTTCTATTTATGTATGTATGTATCTGTCTGTCTGTATGTCTGTCTGTCTGTCTGTCTGTCTGTCTATCTATCTATCTATCTATCTATCTATCTATCTATCTATCTATGTATGTATGTATCTGTCTGTCTGTCTGTCTATCTATCTATCTATCTATCTATCTATCTATCTATCTGTTAATCTAACAAATGAATGCCTCGTCCGGTGAAGAGTGAACGTAAAGTAAAAGAAATTTATTTATGACAACTGCGTCCACAGAGGTAAAAATGCGTGATACCTGGGTCCAGTTGTATAAAGGGAGAATAACGCTATCCAGCGGATAAGTGATAGCAAAACGTAGAGCGTTATCCACCGGATATAATTTTATCCAGTGGATAGCGCAATCCAACCTTCGAACAATACCGGGGCCTGGTGTGTAACATTTCCCGGGCACACACTCGATAAAGGATTGCTTCCGTTGAGAAGTGTCCACATCGTTGTCTTTAAAGAACCCCGGCAAACAAGGCCTTCCGCCATCACGACATATGCTAATATTCTTCTTCTTTGTTTGATTCATTTCCTTTATTTCTGACCGGAAACGCTCTATTGCACTCTCAGTGAGACAAACCTCCTCACCCTACCCCCCAAACCGGTATTTAAAAACTCTCTACACCGACAATTTATACTAGTAATTTATGGAGTTTCAAGATGGTCGACTGGTAATCGTGGGCGCGCAACGAGTGCAAGTGAGGTCATCGAGGTCGCGGGTTCGAATCACGCTATAGGAGTTATTCTTAATCTGGCTTGGGGGCCGAATAACTTCTCCCCGAGTATGATTTGGAGCTGGCGGACAAGGAGTAACTCTCAAACTGGCTTGGGGGCCGAGTAACTCCTCCCCGTAAAATTTCTTTTTTTCCATTTTTCTCTCCTTCGTATCACAATTTTATAGTCTTTTTCCAGTTTTCTATCTTTTTCTTTCTGAGCAGTTGTCTTTTTGGTACGGTTGTGGTAAGTGCCGGTTTCTTTTTATAATTAAATGTAATATTATGTTATTATTATTTTATTTTAACTTCATTATTTTTTTATTCAAATTTTCCATAGATGGCTCATGCATGTTGAGCGACAGTTGCATAGCAATTGAAACTGGGTAGTTTTGATATCAACCCCAGTCATAAGGCATCGTTTCCCGTCACTAGACAATATTTCCCGTCGTTGCAGATCACTCACCGTAATTGAACATCTTAATGGCACGATCAAGAAACATCTCGCTGTCCTCGACCATCATTCACCTTCATTGGGAGTCATTGACAGTCCTCAGAAATCAATTCCAGTCATTTGAAATAGTTCGCTGTCACTAATTATCATGAACCATCAATCGATCTACCGTAATTCACCGCAATGGACATCATTCGCCAACAGTGGGCGTCATTTACTGTCAGCAAGCCTTATACACCGTCGCTTAGCTTTCGTCACTGTCTCTAACCACCAATTACCGTCAGTTGGCATCCTAAATCAATGAACATCACTCACGGCACATTAGCATCATTTAGTGCAGTTTACCGTCATTATGCTTCATTTGCCGCAGCTTCGCATTATCTATAGTCTATAGGTGCATTCAGTGTCAATAAGCCTCACCCACCACTATTAAGCATCATTGACCATCACCCAGGCGTCATTCACCATCACTAAGCGTCATTTACCGTCACTAAGCGTCATTGACCGTCCACTAAGCGTCATTTACTATCACTAAGCGTCAATCACCGTCACTAAGCTTCATTCACCGTCACTTATCATCAGTTATTGTTATCAAAAATCATTTCCGTCACTAAGCGTCATTTACCGTCCCTAAGCGTCATCCGCAGTCACTTAGCGTCATTCACTGTCATCTACCATCATTTATTGTTATCAAACATAATATCCGTCAATAAGCATCATTAACCGCCATAAAGCTTTTTATTTACTTTTACGAAACACCATAAGCATTATTTCTCGCGACCAAAAATTACGATGACTTTTAAAAAACATAATTTTCTTTTACAAGGTTATTCACGCGAGACTTCATACTGAGAGACAAACTACCAAAGCACATTTGAAACATTACAAGTTTATTTTCATTAAAGAAAATTAACAACCTGTATTTCTAGCTAAGAAGTACGTCTGGCAAAAAGTTCGAAAATTTCATACAAAATGGAGTCTAATTAGTCTAGGAATGGTAATGTGATTGGTGGAAAAGGCTGAATTACTTTAATTTTAGTAAAGTTCAAGAAAAATAGAAATATTTGTATCTAAGCCTTCTTTCCACCATCATCATCTTGATAAAAGCGCTTGACAAAAACACTCTATAACTTAAACTGTATTTAAATATTGAGCTCATCACAAAAGCATCAACATGTTGCTTTCCAGCAAGTCTTGAATTCTTGCACCAAGACTGCCTAAAAATTTTGCTGTATGTTCTGCACGAAATGCTTCCCAAAACCATTTACATGCTTTTTGACTCTAGACTTAAACTAGTCTCATACTAAAAAAAATTTCAAATTCAGTCTAACAATATGTATTGCACTTTGCTATCATAAAAAAAATGCTCCACACACCTGTTACCAAGAAATAAACAAAATAAAGGGAAAAAACAGCAAAGATTGAGACAAAAAGAAGAGAAAAAAAAAGAGACTGTCAAGGTAGATATGAATGAGTTTCAGATATTTATGTGGCTCATTCATGTGTGCCAGTATTAAAAAGAAGCAAAGAATCTCAACTGAAGTTGATCAGTGGATGTATTCAAAATTTTATCCTGCAACAGGAAAGAAATCAGAATCACTCATGGATAAATATCTCCTTTGTGAAAAAGGCAGCAAATGTTTCTTTACATAAGGTGTACATTCATCAATTTTCTTAGAAGGGCTAAATTTGAGGAATCCAATATTTTTTAAATAAAAACTGTTAAAAATCTTTCCAGAGATATGCAGCACATGGCCTAAACCTAGGAATACAAGCCAGGCAGATTATGTGAAAATTTAACCCTTTAACTCCCATGAGTGACCAAGACAGAATTTGTCCTTTCAATATCAACACAATACAAAGCAGACAAGTGATCAAAATATCAAGAAATTATCAATCAGGGGATTATAAGTTGATCCAAAACCAAATCCTCCAGACTAACATCATAACAACTGTATGCAGACAGTAAGGAGAATTACCAATGAGATCTTCGGAGTTAAAGGGCTAAGCAAATTTCAAGCTGACTTTTCTTTTCCATTGTTCAACTTGGGTTGTAATGACCAAATCATATGAATTTACTGGTTTCACCAGACAATTTTTCAAAAGATTTAAAGTGTACCACTCAATAACTTATGAAGAGATGAGCTTGACTCACATTAATTTTAAAGAAATTGTCACTACATCATTGTGTTCCTGTTTGATCAGGTGGTACAGGCAACTCCCCTGGGGGACCGGCCACACCTTGTTCCCCTTGGGGGCCTCTTTCCCCTTGAGGTCCTTGTTCTCCTTGGGGACCCTGAGGTCCTGGAGGGCCTTGAGCTCCTGAAGAAAAAATGGCAATAGAGTTTAGACTTCATAATCAAACTACCTGCATATGCTCTATGGATGGCTGCATGATCCCTTATAGGGTCCAACATAGGTTTGGAAGGATGTGGGATGAGGCTTAAAAACAAGGTGGGATGTGGGAGATAAGAAATTTTGAGGCAAAATGCAGAATGAAGATAGGAAGGCGAGAATGGGATATGCTCTGTTTAAAGGAGGGATAGGGGATAGGACAGGTTTAGGATGGATCATAATTTAGCTCAAGTTGCGAGTCACATGACCTAAGAGACAAAAAAAAACTATTTACTTCCTTTCCCCAAAAACCGTGTGTAAAAATACATGAAATTCCTATGATTACCTAACATTACATGTTCATTTTTTTCTTGGGTAACATCTGATGCAATTTAATCACAACCTTCACCAGACAAATTAGTCAAAAGCTATGTTGACTCTCTGGTTGGTTCATTTACAACAGAGCAATTTCTATGACAGCAACACCATCAAAATTGCTAGCCTCATCAAATATTAAATAGTAACCTAACTAAAAGTGACCACTTAGTTCAGTCCTCAAGCCTGCCAGTAAAAACGCCAAGGAACAACCATTCTTTTAAGCCAGCTAAATATGCTTTGAGAAATTTATTGTATTTCTCCATAAAAAAGAGTACATTATCAGTATTGCAAAGGCTTCAATTTGCCCATCAGTTTAAATAAGGTGGTAAACTAGGGAAACTTGGGTTTAACCAGGTGGGATCAGGATGAAAATGTTCATTGTGGTGGGATGGCAGAATGGAATACAAAGTAGCAGCAGGATGTGGGATTGGAAAAGTCTATTTTGGACCCTCTTACAGCACAGGAAAGTTAGGTATGATTCACTCAAGGAACTTGTCATGACCTAGCCTAAATACTGGTAACTTGAACAACAAATTTTGTAAGTCTTTCTCATGTCTAAAAGATCATCTTACCAGGTTCTCCATTTAATCCATCCAGTCCCCTCTCTCCTGAAGGCCCTGTAATAAAAAGCAATTATGCAAATGAAAAGAGAAAAAAAAGAAAAAAAGAGAGAGATCCAGAAACAAAATTGCAACAAGAAATAACACCAACCAAGGCTCTCCATCTACCAATGATTTGCTGATTAGAAATACAACCTGAGGGCAATGATGGTATTGATGCTTTCGAGAATATTAGCAGTACACCTTACTGGTAAATAATTATGATTGTGACCCTCAGAAGTGATTAATATGTAACTTCTCTCTATAATATCCATAGATTATCCAGTTCCAATACAATACAATAATATACAATATAATATTTATTTGCCATATACGACATTTACAGATGGAAAAAAAAAATGAAGAAAATTGATGACAGAAAATAAATAGCGAGAAAACCTGAAAGCAACCACGAGGCTTATAACAAGTCAGGCTTTCTCACTTAAAATAACTAATCTTATATTAGAATTACAATATGTACTTATGGTAATTAACTTTGACCGCGCACACGTACACACACACACACACACACACATATTAAGTAAGTTAGTTAAGAATTACTGCCTTACAGAAGTATCACATAGAATTTCTTATCTTGATCTAACACCAAAATTCTTGAAACTAATTAACAAGGAAATGTGTAGCAGTTAGAAGGGAGAATTAACAATCAAATCTTAGGAGTTCAAGGAATAAGGGTCCTAACCACTATCTCATCGCTTGTCACTTCATTATTAATATCCCAACAGTGTTCTCCTTTTCAGGCAGTAACCAGTAACATTTACTGCCTGTAGTACCTCTTATTACTGTTTAAAATTACTTGGAATTCTTGAAAATTCAACAGGTAAAGGGATTGCTTTACCAGTTTGAATATTTATTTTACCTGTCATGCTTAAAATAAGAGAGAACACTGCCCAAGTTGCCCACTGCAACAATTGTTCAAACTTGAACAAATGAGAAGGAAAATTGTGGAGTTGCAGCTAGCTAAATTTCCTTTGCAACAGCTCAAAAATACAGTGGTGAGGGCTTTAAAAGAAACAACAACAGGTATTTCAAACACACCTTGGGGACCCTGTGGCCCTTCTGCACCTGTGTTACCTAATGTAGAAAAGAAAATAAGAAAAAAGAAAAATCAATACCAGACCAAGCCAAAATTTAAGGGTGTATTTGTAAGTACTGCTCATTTTAAAACCCATAATTATGTAATAAGAAGATTATTTACTCTGTATGTTTCTGACATGTTTGTTATTATGATTCATATAAATTCAAATTTCTCATCTTCTAACATAAACTATCTTCAATAGTGTGTGCATACCAATGCAAACAGTGGTAAACTACAAGACACGTTTAAGATGTGGCATGTATAATTTGGGTACTCAGGCTAACAATTACATCACTTTTTCCGCTCTGCAAGTAACATTACTATATATGGTGAAATAAATGCACTTACCCCTCTCCCCTTGTGGACCTGCAGGACCTGCTGGGCCAGTCTGACCAGTTGGACCTTCAATAACATCACAGAGAACATGATATCAACAAGGTAACTCACTAAGTTCTTGCGATTGAGGGGCATTATCAAAACATGCTTGAAAGTAAGGTAAAGAACGTTACTGAGATGGGTCACTTACTCTTCAACTCAGTTAAATTAAAAATACTGCCTTCAGACATTCTATTGCAGAAATTAATGTGAAACAATGATACAAACTCTATTAAAAAGAACCAAATCTATTCCATCAACATGATTTTTTCTTGACTTATAGAGCACTGGCAACAAAACATGCCCAAATCTTGCAAAAATAATGAATTCTTCACAGCAAAAGAGAAAAAATGGTAGTAATGGAGATTGGTCACAACAATGAACATTGTAATTCATTGGGTCCATGCTTGTGGCAATAAATAAAATACGAGAAAGTGAACCTCAAGTGGATTACATCATACTGCCAAAACAGGCTGTTTCATTAATATACTTACCATCAAAGGACTTACACTAGCTAAAAAACTTATTTAAAAAAATGGAGGAATTGAGTGCTGGTTATGAATCAAGGGCAAATAGATACAGGCCTTTTTTTTTTTTTGCTATAACTGTGATCATGCAGCTATTTTTTTACAATATGTGGTATCTAAAACTAGAATGTTTTTTTCCTTGAAAAATTTGAAGTATAAGCAGAACCAATCTGTGTTATATTCTGAGTCATTAATATCTTCAAAAAGGAACCTTTTAGCAATAGAATTCAGTTTTAACTTTTGCACCTCTCATTTCAAAGACTTTATAAAACAACAAGTATAAGAGGTGACAGAAGACTTTTATTTTTATTATTTAAGGATTTTTTAATTTTTGACAGCTTTTAAATCATAAGTTTAACTAACACAAAAAAGCAGATAAAATACTTTAAAGTTAATGAGTTTTTAAAATTATTCAAATCTTACAGATTGAGTACCTTTGTCTCCAACATCCCCTTTGGGACCTTTTTCACCCTGGGGTCCCTTTTCACCAGGGGCTCCTGTCTCTCCTTTCTCGCCTGCAAGTCCCCTTGGACCCCTTTCACCTGTTAGACCACGTGCACCTAAAGTATCCCCAAATGTTCCATAGGGAAGGTTTCTATGTGACCATCATTGGCTTTCAAGTAAAATATTTTCGAGCTTTATCTTTTTAATGTTAATTGTTAGGTGCTTCCTAACATGATAGTTACACTCAAGGTTTTATGTCAAAACTCGGCTGTCTGATAGACAGTTAATTTAAGTGGATTATCTATCCTTTATACAGTGGATTATTTATAAAATAAATTCCAATTTATATATGAAAATATTTTAATAACTTAAGAAGAGCAAGATAATATTCTGTTATATTTTCTAGCAGCTCCCTTATGCAAAAGTAATACATATTTTTCAAAATAACTTTTCAACACTGCTATGTCTACAAAATAGAGAAAAATAGAATAATCTCTTTTTAAAGATTAGCCATCTTTGGAATATTTTTTTATCAAAACATGTCACCAAATATTAGACGACAGAATACCTTGCATCCCTCTATCCCCCTGGGGTCCTTCATCCCCCTTGGGTCCAGTATCCCCCTTGAAGCCTTGTTCCCCAGGGTCTCCTTTGTCACCTTTCTCTCCTGGATCCCCTTGGGCACCTTTCTCACCTATTTTGCCTGGGACACCTGTATAAAGTTTCCATTTCCATCAGTCTGGTTCATTAGAGACAAGGCCAAAAAAATGACTTTGAGATAAGCTTAATAGTGTAAAAATAATAATAATAAATAATAAGCAAATCACCAAAACTCTTAGCCCTTTGTTTTGAACCAAAAAATTAATTATTCAAAAGTCTGAAAACTCTTCTAGATATTATGAAGAATATATTAACCTTTAGCTTCCAAGATGTCAAACTCAATTCTCAACTCTGTTCACTATGTTTTGAATTTAGTACCAAGAATTTGGTGTTTGATCAAACCATACTTCAAATTTGACATAATTATGCTTCAAAATATAGGAGAAATCCCTTTAGAATCACCGTAAGCAGTGAAAGAGATACAACAAGTCAACCTACATATGCCTGAAAGGTTTCAGGAAGTCTAGGTATCACAACAAAACTATTTTTCTGCTATGAAATTCTAACCCTGACTTGTATTGTTTTAGAAGGGTATTAGCTTTCATCATATGTTACAAGATGTGTAAAGGAAGAACATTCACTAGCCTCCATAAAGAGTGGTTGATATACAGTTATCAGTCCTATGAATTAAAAGTGTTTAATTTTAGGTTGAAATACTCATGGCAATGAACAACTTAAAATGAATGATCAGATTAGTTACATTTCAGACTGGGAAATTGTATTTATTTGATTTCACTTTCAAAGGGAGATGAGTAAATCAAATTATATCAAATTTAATTTTCTACAGAAAAATTGCTTTCTTAAGGTTGCAAAAAAATTAAGAATTATTTATTAATTCACTTTTTTAAAGTATACTTTACCAGATCAGTAGATAATTCTCATCAGAAATTATCAAGCCAGTCTTACAATAAACTCAAACGTTTACAATTTTTTTTAATCTTAGATTTCGCTACAAATTAATATTCCATTGACATGGTTAAGGAACGGCTGAGTCAATATTTATCACGTTCTGTAAATACATTAAAGAAAATTATTGCAAAAAGTCCTTTTTCAAATAAATATTCATATAAAGTTAGTATAAGTTTCACTGTTTGCTTTATTAATACCATTTTGAGCACAATATGGCATTGATAATCGATAGTTAGGCAGAAAGCTTGCCAGTGCCACGTTGACAATCGTAGAGTTCGTGACACAATGAAGATTGCGTGAACGGTTTTCGAAGGTTTCTTTTAGAGCGCATAATCGCAACTTGTTGATGAAAGTTTTAAATTGACACGTTTGTCATTTGATTGGCTTCTTCTTCTAACTTTGGGGTTGTTATTCGACTTGAAATAAATTCAGTGTCATTTACATTAATTTTAAAGTAAAGCGTTTTTAATGCGTGACATCTCACGGTAATTTTACGGTCAATAAAAGCATCGAAGCCGGTTAGTTCTTCTCGAAACAAAGGATTTCGACTCAAGCTGTGCAGGATCACCATTTCATAAGAAAGCAAGGAATAAAAGTCTCGATCTAATAGTGTAAATTGAAATCCAGTTAAAACTCTGAATTGAGAAATCCATATGATAAAGGAGAGGCTGCTTGCGCAAACAAACGGGCCCACGAAATAAATCACTTACCCGCTTCTCCAGGCATTCCTTGGGGACCAGCCGGTCCTGATTTCAAATAAAAAGGAAATTTTAGTGTCATAATATCACAATAACTACAAAAGCTTCGCATACCTCTCATCGTAAACCACACATTAATTTATCTTCTTAGGAAATAAATGCAAATGTTCCATACCTCGTTCTCCGGTTTTTCCAGGGGGACCATCGCATCCTGCATGAAAATACAATAAAAAAAAAGGATGCAAATTAGGACAGGATCTTTCTAGATTTAACGTAAGTTTTAGAGATTTTTAGACTACAGGGATAAAGTTTCATTTGTCTACATGGCTCCTTAACCTCTAGCGGGCCGACCATTTGTTCGCGTGCACTGCTGTATTAATTCGCTGAAAAAAGTGGATGCCCATATTTTAGGAACACAAAGGGAAATTGCATCTAAGAAATAGTTCGTATGCGTAAAGGAGGGATGTATCGAAATTTACCTTGTAAAGGAATAACTCCGTAGATCATGGCAAAATTCATTGCCATAGATGAAGTGGCGATCACAAATATGAGCAGTTGAAATGCGGAGAAACCTCCCGCACCCTTGGCTGCAGCCTGAGTGTCCTTTGTATCCTTTGGTGCTTTTTTTGCGGGCATAATGCTGAATCAAAATCAGATGATATATGAGGAAATGTTACAAATACAGCACTCACGATGAGGGTGATGCCTGCACGCGCAGACGGCTAAATAGAAGTGGCCGTGTTGAATAATCAATCAAGAAGATTGGGGTCAAAATATCGCAGACTGGTTCTATTCTCCCGCGGTCCAATAGCCTACGCCTGCTGAAACTTTGCTCACGCAGGGCGGAAGAATCTAAATAGTTCACAGAAGTTTAGTTGTAATCAATAATTAATTTTGGACATACTGACGGTAATTTAAACTTCAATGAAGAGGATTTTGGCTAAGGCGAAAGCTAAGCAAGATGGAGGTGTTACTGTGGAACATGCCCTCGAAAAATACGTGGATCGTCCGACAATTGCATGGAATCTTCTCGAGTCATCTCAAGTTGTAGAAAGGCTAAAGCTAAATGATATACGAAGCCCAAAGCCTCCTGGGCACACAAGATTTGTCTGCATTTCAGATACACACAACAGAACGGATAGAATGGAACATGCTATTCCCGATGGGGATATCTTAATTCACGCAGGAGATTTCACCAGTTGTGGAACCCGTGATCAAGTGATCCACTTCAACAGATTTTTAGGGACACTCAATCATCCTCACAAGGTTGTCATCGCTGGTAATCATGACATTTCGTTTGATCTCAAGAGCTACGATTCTCTGTGGTCAAACTTCACACGGATCAGAGAGGAACCTGAGGAAACTCGGAAGCAACTTACAAACTGCATTTATTTGGAAGACGAGGAAATAACTGTGCGTGGATTTCGAATTTATGGCTCCCCATGGTGAGATACTGAGGCTTGAGTTAAAAGAGGCGTAGAGCACATTTCTGGAGAGGCTTGGTATAAACCGGTCTTGAAAAGCTTTTTTAAATTTCAAATACAGGTTTTTTGTGACTCAGGTGTCTATCAAGTGTTAACAAAACAAGCTCCTAGATGATAATTCCCTAGGACATTAATTACACCAAATTTGTTTGGGGAGTCAAGCATTACATGGGTCATAACATGCATGAATACATTCAAAGTAATTGTCATTAGTTTACATGACACCACATCTGATGTCCTGCTTGGCAGCACAGGGGCAGTATAGGTGTTTACATGTACATTATTACCATCAGAGGAATTTCCTTGGGAGAGAATCAACTGGAGATTGAGAGATCTCTAGGTTTGGATGTTGCTTTACCTTGTTGTATTTCTAACTCTAAATTTCCTCTCTTCATTTTCCTTCAACTGGTGATAAGTAAGGTGCAAGCTTTGTTTGCCTTAGATACTTTCTTTAGTTACTTCAACAGATTTATATTCTGATACAATTCTAGGTCACCTGAGTTTTGCAACTGGGCCTTTATGAAGCCTCGTGGTCAGTCAATGCAGGAGACATGGAACAAAATTCCAGATGGCATTGATATCCTTGTGACCCATGGCCCACCCTTAGGTACTGTAGTTTGCTCAAATCCTTAACACCCTACATCAGTGTGCCTATTCTCTATACTGTTCTCATCACATATTCTCTTGTTTTGATGAGGAAAATTCGTGTGACAATCAAAAGCTTCTTCAGCTTCACTGTAGTAATAATTTCCTTTATCCTTACAAGCTTAATGCTTGATTCAGCAGTGAGACTGTAGGAATAAATCAGATGCTTGTCACTCTCAGGGGTTCAAGGATTAGGCCACTTAAAATTACTCATTATTTGAGTGATAATTTAGCAATAAGAGCTCCCTTATCACTCTACATTTCTGTGAAGCTCAAAAAACCATAAAAGCCAGTCGAAGAAATATTGGTGGAATACTATTGTGTCCCAAAGAAAAAGCCACAGGTGTGAGAAAACCATACCACAAAGTTACCCATTCCAGTAATTAGTTTTAAGTGTGAAGGTTTTTACTTGTGCTTTGAACTGTATTGCACAGTCATCTAATTTTCCCGTAACTAATTGACTTATTATATCAAACAAAGTGTTCACTGTTTTCTCAGCCTCAAAGTGTTACTTTACTCTTTATAGGTCATGGTGATCTTGCAGTTTCAAAGCTTAGAGCTGGATGTCTTAATCTCTTACACACAATACAGTCTCGCGTCAAGCCCAAGTATCACATTTTTGGACATATTCATGAAGGTATATAACATCATATAAAACATAACCTCAGGTTGTAATTTGTATGACTCAGTTATTGTAATAGTTGCACTGTACAGTCACTGTGATAAACAGTGTTTCACTGCCTCCATGATTAGGAAAGTTGAATGTGAAGTAAATTCTGTGTTCTAATCAGATACCGGCTGGCAGATGAAAAAGCAAAAAATTTTGAAGTATTTGGTTTATCATATAATAAACCCTTAAAGTTATGGTCTGTTTGGCTTCATTCTGTTAAGGGTTTTTTCATAAACCTTGACAAACAAACAAACACAATAAATGGAGTAAGTTTCTAAAGAAACCGTGTTGTTGTATTGGCAGGGGTTATTACAAGATAATTTGGTTTTATAAACTGAGGTGACATTAATTAAAATGGCCACTGGTGAGAGTTTCTTAAGCTGATGTTTTGAGCATTAGCAGAATAAATGATGTGATAATTGTTAAATTCTGAATACGTCTTTTAACCTAATTTTTTTAATATAATGACATTCAATAATCATTTAGTCCACAGATGTAAGAATAACATTTTTCAATTGTACTCCGTAGGATATGGAATAACTACAGATGGAGTTACGACATTTGTTAATGCCTCATCAGTAACAATCCAGTACCGGCCGTCTCATCCACCAATAGTATTTGATCTCCCAAACAAAGAAAGCCTTGATCAATCTTGATTTAACCTTTGTAGCATTCACTTTCTGTTAAGTTTTAACATGGGGTGTATTTGAATCAGACTCTTGCTTTCAGATGCTGTGTGTCCTCCAGTTAGTATAACTGGTAATTGTGATGGGAAGAAAGAAACAATAGGTCGCATTGGGAAAGAAACAATAGGTCGCATTGGGAAACAAGGTTTGTGTAGTTTCGGCAGACTGTAAAGTTACTGCTGCCATAGCATATTCCTTGGCAGACCTAAAATAGCTATGAAACCTCAGTGAGTTTATTCCTAAAAGTACTGACACAAGTATGTATAGTACATGAAAGCAAGACTCTGAAGCAAGTACATCACATGTTACAACAAAACAGGCTGTTCCTTCAGATGCACAAAGCCTGTCATGCTTAAGCAAATGATTTAACTCAATTCCAAGCAAGGGCTCAGAAGTAGCCTTAATTTTTCTCTTTAACAATTTCTCTTAATTAAAAAGTTTTCAAATTGTAAGAAGGATCGATTTTATATATTTAAATAACTTCATTCAGCTGAATACCTAGAATTTGAGAACTGCAGCTTATATTACTTTGAATTCATACATATTTATTCCATATTTTTGAAGTGTATAAAATTTGAAAAAAAACCTAGAGCTGTATGTAAATATACTCAACTATCACAGCTTACATGACTAGAAAAATACTATAGATGGGTCAAACAAACTAAAAATTAGTCTACTAAATTTAATTCTAAAGGGTCTAACAGAGAACCTTTTTTAATGAGTTATTTGTTTTTGAACACAATCTTGGTGAGCCAAGTTTAAAGGTGTTAATAAATTTAATACATCTTGTTTTATGGCACATCACTGTCTCTTGAAATCCAAGGTGCTTCTCCCATCTAGCACAGTAAATCTTGTAAAATTTCAACTATCAAACAATTGTAATTTTAAAAAAGAAGTACAAGCCTAAAGTTGATTGATGTTGCTAGCCATTTTTCATGGCAATTAGATTTTTCAGCATGTCAAAAGTGTTTCCATCTGGTTGTACTGATAATAATTTACCAGACTTGGTTTGCACTAATAAGAAACCAAATTCATCAAGTCCTATTATCATCACTTCCTCCTTGTCTTTCATGTCATTCACTGACAGGTTAACAGTCACTTCACTGAAAATAGATTCAAGAATACATAGTTTAATTTAAAGTACCAGGCCCTGTTGTTCAATTGGCAGATAAAGTTATCTAACAGATATATCACTATTGGGTGGATAAATGTTAACAAACCATACTGCACTATCCATGATATAGAGATTTATCCAGTAGATAGCATTATCCACCCTTAAAACAACTGGGGTCAGGCTTACAATTAAGGGTGTATATGTTGGCACTATTTTGTCTTTGAAAAGTGGTACTTTAAAATTTGAGACATTATAAATTTATTTGCCACAACTACATTATCTTGTATGTCATATGACTTGGCATACTTTTACACAAGTTTAAAATAAACAAATTTCAGTCTTTAGAACCAATCATTGTTCCATTTGATAGTATTTAATGTTAGTTTGATTGTGCAGTTATTTTTCAGCATTAATTATAATAACTGGTAGGTAAGATCCTCAAAGGGTCAAATTTGTAAGTCAGATCAAAACATGACAAAAAAATTCTGAACTGTTAGTTCACCTACTGTAAAATTGAAAAAAAAACATCAGCAGTTAACAGTGTGATACCTAGATGATATGATCCCTCATCAATAATACAAATTTTACATTGGTGTGAAATTTACCCTTCTCATGTGACTAATATTTTCAGTCTGATACCAAATTGACAGTGACCATATATCATGCACTATTGACCAGCCATCAGCATACAATATAATTAACAAAAATTATCCTATTACATACCTATGAAGCCAGCGGTTGTAGTATTTTTTCAGAAAAGGTGCAGAACCATTCTCCTGGAAGTCCTCAATAAGGGCTTCTATTTTGTTGACTGTTCTTGCCAGCATCTCTTCCATAGTCAGCTGCTTTAGGTCAGTCCCACGATCACTATTATACTGTGAAATGATCTCATTAACACTGATGGTAGGTTCTGTGTTGCTGATGTTAATTCCCATTCCTCAGTGAGAAAAACAATAATTTAATGAAGAATGCCACTAATTCCTTAGTCAATATGACCTTAGCCTGAACTTCTGTTTTAAATTGACAGAATTTGGAAGTGTCGTGATTCAAGGAAAAACTTTTGATCAAATAGATTGGACAAATTGTATTCCAACAAATGATATTCCTGTTGTCAGTTTCAAATCTTACTTTGAACAGTTAGTGAGCTAAGTGGCCAAATCAACCAACTTTGAGGTTCATCAGCCAGACCATTTTTTTTTCTTGACCCTTTGGCTACATATTACTGTATTTTGCTTGGACAATAGAATCAGCATATAGAAACTACAGTAGTACCTATGAATGGGAAAGTGTTTTGATGGATACATCTCTTCAGCACTTAATTGGATTGCTAAAATTGACCAACCGGAGCTACCAATGAAAGTAGACTTTTAGATAAACACAGCAACACTTACCCATCACAGCACTCAGCATGTTATCTGTTGCTGATGATGTCACAATAACACCTCCAATTTTAATCTTATTGCCAAAATAAACATCATTTGGCCATTTGAGGCGGATGTTGATATCCTTTGTTAAGAAACAAACATACTGTGAGTCAAATGACTTCTGCAGTAATATCCACATTTCTAAATATTAAAAACATCTCAGACATCTCAGCCCTTGCCTAAATGTTAAAACTAAGAAACAAAAGATGAAATAGTTCAAACCACCATAAATATTCTAAACAAAAATAGCAATCTCCATTTTCAGGTTCAGATTTCTTTAAACTTCAGATAAAGTTGAAAAAAAAGGGATAAATGGTTTGTGAAGACAATGATTTCTTCACCCTCAATTGCATTCATTGTGATGCAGCCAGAATATCAAGTTTGTTATTGTTCTAAAGATAGGATGTACTTATTTCCTCCCACATCAAATAGTTGATCATCTCCAATTCAGCATTTCTTTCTGTCATAGTGTATTTATCAGCAGCTGTGTTATGTATTTACTTCATATCCTGGTTGAGATGTGATTGCCTCCACAGCAGCCAGTGAAGCAATGTGCTGTAGGTAGGGTGGTCTTCTACCAAGGTTGGATGCAAATGGAATTTTAACATGAAGGGAAAACATTAAACAACCAGATGGAGACAGCCACACATTTCCACCTCGGCCTGTGGTTTGATGCAAAAAAATTAAGTTTTATTTATATGTTGACACAAATGCAATCTGTGATGAAATATGAATTAATACATATATGTTAATTAATACACTAGGTCTCTACTTACATTATTAACCAAAGGGGAAATTTTAAGCCCATTCAATTCGATACATTTGTATAATAATAACAACTACTATCATAATCGAAATTTAAGAATCCAGATCAAATGAGGTGTACCCTCAAACTGTTTATGCCAAGATTTTGCTAAGATTATCATGAGCTCACTAACATTTGTAATTAGTTAACAACATGGTTTTGAGTGCAATTTAGTGTTCATAAGCACAAGTAAATATTTCAAAGACAGCACATGAATCATGTTGTGACTTTATGATAATTTAGTATGTGAAAAAAAAGCATCACAGAAAGTTAACAGAGATGAAATTTTGACAGCATGCCTGCTATTTGTAATTTGCACTCGTGTTACCTGAAAAATGGACTTGTTTTCAGCCAATGAGATACACACAATTTTATCATGTAGATTATCACATGGCTTACCCTGGCCTTTAACTTGCTGTCCTGCAACAACAACCATCCCCACATCTTCAGGGATATTTGAAGTAAAGGTATAATTCCTAAATTAAAATGAAATTAAAAAAAAAAAAAGAAAAAACAAAGAGTAGTGAGAACAGAGTATGACTTTGAGCAATAAAACATGGAAAACTGTTTCAGGATATTTCAGTTGTCCAGAGACAGGAGCCTGCTTTTTAACAGGTGTACTTAGAAAACTTATCCACACTTAATACCTTATGCATGGCACTTCATGAATAATTTTAACTTCTGAGCCTGTTGAAGGTCAGCCATTATCTTCAAGAAGCACTTTTACGAAGGAGGAGCTTATTCAAGAAAAGCACTTTTAATTTTCATATTAAAAAATGCATTATTCTTGGTACAGATGACAAATACTAACCCATCAAAGATTGTTTGTGTGGATGTGATTACATCAGTGTAGAAGACAACTTTTCCCAAAACTTTAGTTTTTAAGTATTTCTGGTAGGTGCTCCAGTTAAAAGAAACAGCCTTAGAGTTTTCCTCATGACAGATAACTGGTAATTTCTCCTCTGTGACATTTGGAATATGCATTTCATCACTTGCCACAAAGTGTAGTGAGAGCTGGTTTCCTTTACAGATGCCATCCTCCAGTGATGATCTTAAAGACTGCATAAGTTTTTGTTTATCCTTTAAATTATAAGAGACAAATAGCATTTAACCATGATTGTTACATGAAATATATCTTAAAATGTTATTATTTGGAGAAAGTTGGGCAAGCGTAAGTGGCATGGTAAAGATAGAGATATTTCCATGGCAGATTGAGTAGGAGTTAGGGAATAGGTTTAACTTATAATATCATATTGGTCACATGCTTGATGTCTTCTTGTAATATGAGGTGAAAGTTAGTTAATAGTTTTATTTTCACAATAAGACTTACAGGGCACTCCATTTCCAATTTATTTGATTTTGTCATAGTATGTCAGTGGAAAAGCAAGGGGGAAAATTTTTGACTTACAAGGCAATAATTTTTTTAATCTTATTTCCTTACTTTTCTTTCAAATTTTTATGAAAAGAAGCTTACCAATTCATTTCCAAGAAGGAATAGTGGAGTCAGTTCTGGCACTTTCAGAGGCTTAAAACTTAATTTTAGTAGTTTTAAAATATGCAGCAACATCTTCCTTCTGGCATCACTGGATTCTCTCAAGCTTTTTAAGTTCTGTGTGTCTTGCTCAAGACTGACTAATTTTCCATTATCAGCAAGTGACTCTAAATGAACAAGGCTAAACACAGCATTGCCAGAACCTTCGGAGATCTGAATGATAACTGGTCGCTGTGAAGTTTCTTCTTCTGCAATAATATTCACTCTCTCACCTGTATTTATTGAAAAAAATAAAATCAATCCCTTGTATTTTAAACATAAGGGTTTAAGTTACTCAGAACCGCTCACCTTCAAAATAATAAGGCTGACAAAGTGCAGAGAAATGGAGCTTCACTTCAGAGACTACCTCTTGATTTGTTCTGAAGGATCCAATGAAAGGCTCTTGGTATTCATCCAAGGGCTTTTTGACAACTTGACACGTAAATGGACTACACAGGCTTAGAATCTGTCCTCCACATTTAAGATACTTCAAAAACACTTCTTGAACTTTTGATGACACTGAGTCACTATTTCCTAGAACCAATAGAGCAGTGTTTTCGACCCATGGATGGGTGGTGAGCTGTTGTTCATAAATTCTGTATATTACATAGCTATGCAGATTTATAACTTGTGACAGTGCCCTCTTAACTTCAGTGAACCTCCTGCCTTCTGTGTCATAAGTTCCAGTATATATAAGGATGTTCGGAGGCTTTGAAGATTTAGTAGTCATAGCTTTGCTAACTTGACTAGTTAACCTTGAAGCTGGGGAATAATGCAGAGAACTTAAATTAGTGAAATACCTTTATGTTTCAATTTAAGAGACCATTTTTTAACAAAACCATTGTCATGATCGAGGAAAATATAAAATTGGTTTTCTGATAGAATATTGTAGACGGTATTGTCACGATCCTTTACATGAGATACTGCCGCGTTCATTTTCAAAAATGCTCCTAACCTTTACTATTCTAATATTTCTGTTAACTGAACATTTAAAAACAGTCACACATAACCCTTCGATTCGTTTCAACTGGCTATCAAGAGAGATAGTGCTAGGATCACATGTTTACCTGATGACGATCGAAGGATCGAAATTTCATTTACACCTGCAACCTTCGTACACGACGAAGTCAAATTCAGAATCCTTAATTTTGTTAGGGCAAAACCAGCTAACCAACTAGCACCCAGCATTTTAAGGACGTCCAAAAGAGCGCGTTTCTCACATGACAAAACCACTACGACGTCTAAGGCTTTAGACAGACCAGGGGAATCACCGGTAGGAAATCGCGGGCGCTGTGTGTTGAGTGCTCATCTATGTAACCTTCATCATCTGTCTCGGGGAGTAATAAGGCCAGAAAACAGCGGGAAAAAGAAGAAAAGGATACCGCAGGTGCCACCTACAACCAGGAGTGTGTCAACAAATATATAGTTTTTGTGTATACAGCTTCTCAAATAATGTTAGAGAGGTATTAAAACTTAAGAGTATTCAACCTTGCCGCAGACGAAATAGAGTTATATGAAGTTTTGTTGGGACGCTTTTATTAGGTCTAATTCGATTTGAAAGACTCGGCAAAGTGATTGGAACCTCAAACTGTTAAACTGTTACATTACATTCGATACTCTATTCGTTTTAATGCACTGCCCAATTTCGAAGAAGCTATCATTAAACGTAACAAATAATTCATAGCTATCTTCTCCTCCTCTTCTTTATCTTTACTCGGATTCTCTGAAGCCGCTGATTCCAGGCAGGAATTACAGTTGGGACATATTTGTTCACTGTAGTCATATCTGATTTTGTCAAGAAAAGAAGTAAATATAGTCAGTTTTTCAATATATCGTACCGTTGATAGTCATAAAACAGAGTTAATAAGAGTAAGAAGCCATTATTAAAATAAAGACACTTAATCTCAAGCCACATTAGGATACTTAGGCTCCAGTTTCTCGAGGGGGGTGACCTTCCCTTAGGCTCTCACACCTCATATTCTGAGTCAAATTTTCACAAAAGTGTATTATATTCGCGCCTTAATTTTAGTTGATAAGTGAAGAAAGATCGGTTCACCACAATACAGCCTTATGGAAGCCACCACCATAGAGTTCGAAAATACCGTCGTTAACACATTATCAATTCTTACTACAACATGCATTAATCAGAACTCAGCATTTCCTACTTCATTGATTCCATAAAGATAAAAACTTATTTAGCCCAGTAGGAACAAGGAAGAAACGACAATAAGCGGAAAGGAAATGAGCCAAGGTGTATTATTTAAAAAGCCACCTACTGTGTAACTACTGCAGCATCACAATCAGAGTCACCCTCCGTCAGAAACTGACACCCATCTGTTAGGAAGGAAAACTGCAGTCATTAATGATGTGTACCTCCTGATGAAGGAAACAGAAAATTTCAAAGACGATGATTATGAATTATGATTTATGGAGAGATAATCAGCTCGTCGATTCACTAACCTGAGCTTGTTTCATCGCTATGGTTTTTTTGGGGGACGACATGGGATGCCAATGTCTGCAACAGCATGAACAGATGAAACTTAAATGACAAGCTCTGCCAATTGTTACGCGTGTCGGCACTTTTTTCCTTTTTCATCAATCTTCATTGAAAACTATTTTACCTAGATAAGTTAGGCCCTTCTCGTGTACTGGTATTAAGATTAAAGAGTGGATCAACTCCCCTGTACCGAGTGAATGCCCTGCTTCATCTCGTATATATTCGACCACCATACTGCTAGGGGAAATATGTTTTTGGGGGTTCTCTTTACCAGGATTCCATTGTCTGAACCTCACTTCCTTCAAAGGGTGGTGTGACTGACGGAGAAAACAGTCATTAGAACCTTTTCAAGAAAGGGAGAAATGAGAATGCAAGTTACAAACTTCTTCCAGAGATAAATCCTTCTGCTTTCCGAGTGTTTTCTTTGTTATAAAATGTCTCGAACTTTAAGACTTGCCTCTGAAGAAGAAAGTTCACCATGGAGCCCAAAAGCTCGCGCAAAATCTTGTTGTTGATCGGACAGGATTCTATGCACATTATGTTTAAGTTTTTCAAGTTCTCCGTTTATTCTTTCACGCACAAAGTTATCTGTAAAAACAAAAATAAAATCAATGAAGTGTAAACGCTTCTCAAAAATGGTGAAAATGTTATATTTCTGTCCTTCTGTAATTTCAGGAACCTACAGGACATGCAAAGGACATGCATTAAGGGCCGGCGGGATTGAATCGTCTGTCGTTCAAAAGAAAAGTTAAATGGAAGCGAGCATACGAGGTCATACGAAATCCCATCCTCTTGTCTGCTTATATATTTTGTCAATTTGTATTATTCCTGCAATATAGCAATAAAGATACTAGTACTACTACGAATAAAAATAATGATACTAGCACTACTACGAATAATAATAATAATAATAATAATAATAATAACGACGGTGATAATGATAATGATAAATCGGTAATGACGATATTAATCGATAAAGAAATTTATCAAATAATCAGAGAACCTAGCGACGAAGGCAGTAGGTGCTGCTTCAAAAATTAGGAAAGAGTTGGGATTGTTTTGAAGAAGTGAAAAGACAAAATATGCATTTTTAAAGCTATTTGATTAGAAATATTTTACATCTTCTTACCTAGATGTCGGAACACCGCAGCGGCAGCAGCTGAATCATCTGTAGAGCTGGATACTGACATGGCCTCATCTGACATGGGATTCATGTGCCCCACCTTCTGAGTATTTTCAACATCGTCAGCTATTTTCTTATAGCTATTTGAAAATCGAACAAAAATATTGTTGTAATAATGTTACAAGACACAAAAATAACACATCCTTGTGTGCAGGGATCAGTCGTTTAATCTTTTTCCCCCACAACCATTCTGATTTGCAAGGAAAAGAAAGCTAACAATAATAAACATATATCAGCGATGCAAAACTGACAGGAAAAAACCTTAATGGTCTGTGACAGGTTTATATTTCAAAGCCACTCAGTGTTTGGTCGTCCTACCCTCTTTGCATTTCCTACAACTTCGATCATTCAATTTTTTAACCCCTTGAAGATTGTGCACTGGTCAGTGTGAAAACTCCCCAAAAATGTATTTTGTTTTCTGTTCGTCGGAGTTTCAATTTACAACAAGAGCTACATTCCATTTTTATTGAAAATCAAATTCTGAATCTGAATAATCGTTTTACATTCTTAAATTAGTGTAAAATTGCATTCTCTCGGCAAGCCAGGATGCTTTTAGATTAGATGTCTACCTACCTTTGGTTGTGATCATCTGTGAATGTGGTGCAATAGTTGTTCATCAGTGGAGAGGCTTCATAAATATTCGTCAAGTGATTCGGATCAGCAGCCATCTTTGGGAGGTTTCGTTGTTTTTCAGGCTGTGGAACCACTTACTGTCGCATCCTAATAAAAACCAATATTTGTAAAAGAAGGCCTCTTTTTGACTTGAAGTGAAGTGATTTTTACGCATTTGATAAAAAATAAGCAAATTGAATGATTGTGATTAGCTTGAAGCGCATATAATCTGGGAATATTCTCAAACAGATTTCTCTAGCGCGATCTAAAGAACTCTATTAATTTACCTCTCCTCGAAGAACGAGGAAATTCTCAGTTTCAATCTGTATTTTGTGGAAATTTGGCCATTAATAATGTGAAGTGGTAGTGGTGTGTTTTCCCCAAAATGGATTCCTCCAAAATAGTTTTCGATGGCTAAGTAAACTTCAAAACGGCAGCTCAGATGTGTATTTAGTTTTCTGTTGATACATTTCGCGCCAAAAGTGACGCGCGAGCCGGTTTCCCGCCTTTTTCTCTGGTGCCCGCGGTTGGCAATACTCTGAGATCTCTCGGTTGTAAGAGTTATAGATAGGATTAAAGCCTTTAGAGTTTTGTAAAGTTTTCCTTTTTTTGGCCACAAGATACTTCATCAAGCTTAGCAAATTTACAAGAGTTAACTGGCTTACATTCAGCATAAAACTCTAAGATGAACGGCGATGGTCTAGAGGACATTGGAAAAGCTTCAACTCTATTGCAAGGTGAGCTGATAAATTGTACAATTAACTGAATTGAATTATCTCAACAATTTTCTTTCCTTGAGTGCAAAACGTTTACCAGGTTCCGCTTATTCTACATTCAGCTCTCGTGAAGGACTTGCGTTCAAATCAAAACAGTGCGGAGAGGGTGGCAGTGTTGGCCGATCGTATAACAAACCTGACGTGCAGAATGCATCAACTTACATTTGAAAGAGCTGACAATAATGCAGTGTTGATACAGATTCATAGCAATGCTGTCACTCTGTGGAATATTGCTGTGGCAATGAAGACGGGTAGTGGGCAAACTGGAACAACCGAAAATGCAAAATGTATGTATTTTTTTCCTTCTCACTACCTGAATTTAGTTGTTAAAGTAAGGTTCCACCTCAACCATGCTTTAACCCTTCCACTCCCAAATCTTATTAGCAATTCTCCTTATAGTCCTGATACAATTCGTACGGTACTTGTTCGAAGAATATGGTATCGGATCAACAAATAATCAGCTAACTGATATCTTCGTTATTCTCATCACTTGCCTGCTTGAAATTGCATCAATTTGACATTGTAAAGATAATTTCTGTCTCGGTCACTCATGGGAGTTAAAGGGTTAAGGAGATATTGCTTTTGAAACTGCAAGAGTAACAAATTATTAAGTCAGATTTCTTCGCTTGCTCGAATGAAGAGAAGATTTTTTTCAATCTTGAATATTACCGACTCCTTTGTATTATAGTAAGACTATCCGCATTCGCGCACTTTTACCAGTTTACCATGACTTCCATTTGCAACCTTTTCCAGTGATCTACTCACAACAGGCGACATTTATGCTGACACCGGCTGACCCAAAATATAGCGCTAAACTCAACCAAAAGCCTTGAAAATGTCAGCCGAGTCGGTTGACCGTAAAAAATTGCTGCGAGTGGTCGTGAGATATTCAAGAAAGATTTTGGAAGCTAGTATCCACAACGACTTACATATCACATATGGCCTTATCAGCCTCTCCACCCGTAAGACGAATTTTAAGTTAGATGAAGGACTTTTTGGAATGAGTACACTGAAAGTGTAGTTCGGAAAATACCCGAATTGGTGTAAAATATAAACCTTTTTGGATATAAAATTGTATAAACAAAAATTTCTCTCCCTTTCCCTCCTTCACTTCTTTCGCGTAGTGTGAACGTAAGAATGCCGCCCTCAATTATCCTGTTGCGATTTTACCAATAGGGGCCTCTGACCAGTGAATATGAGGAAAAGGCTTCCTTGGCGGAATAATCCATTGCTTTAAATTGTATTTTTTTTTTCTTTCAGTGAGGTATGCAGCTTGCAAGCTTTCATTTTTGGCTAATGCTGCTGAAACATGTGAAGTAACCTACCGGAAACAGTTAGTGGTACGGAATTATGTAACAATTTTATAAATGAAATAAAAATTCCAGTTAAATGAATTAATAATTTTGTTCATAATGCAACACTTGATAATCTCTTTTTTTTTAGATGACGACGAAAACAGGACGAGCCTGGCTGGGTGAGCAAAAATATTTACTCAATATTATAGCTTCATTATAGAACATAGCCGTTTCATTCACTTTGCAAGAAAATTTTTAAGTCTAAGTTTAATTTCCGTCAGGTGACTAACCCCTAGGTAATCGCCTAAATAAAACGAAGACAATTAAACTTTGCATTTGATACGAACATGGGTAGAAATAGTCGGGAAAGTGGGTAATTGAGCGCAAGATAAATCGATAAAACCATCGTTATGTTTAGTTAAGACGATGAGGAAAAGCCCAATAAATAAGTTTTTCGGGATGAACAAGATTTTATCATTAACAATCATACCTTTATCTTTTCCTTTTCCTTTCATATATTTCAATGTCGACCAACTTGTGTACTACAGATTGTCAGAATCCAGCCATGGCAGATGAATGCCTTGCCTTAGCAACTGAGGCAAGTTTGTCGACTACATGAGAATATTATGATTTGAAAACACGATTAATTTTTTTAGTATTAACGGTGGTATCTAAGACGACTGTTTTGTTAAAATTGCAGTGTTGGAATGGGCTGCAGAAGTCGTGGTCATCAAGAGATGAACATGATTCACCTACACCAGAGCAATCTAAACAGATCGCAGAATGCGAGCGATACATGTTCAGAGTCTACTGTTATAGAGCAGAAACGGTGAATATCATTTACCGTTACTCTTCGTGTGATCCAGTTTATCAAAATAATTATATTAATGAAAAATAACAAATCCAGGAAGACTAAACGTTCCTCTGGATTTTTTACGTTTTTTCGTTCCAAGAGAATACAGTTGATGTGTGGTGGCCATTGATTAAAACCAAAACGAAAACCTTCCAGTCATTCCCGAATCAATCATAGGAAACCTTTCCGGCTTTCCTTACCATACAAAATGTTCGAATTTGCCCTGAGAAGTCTTTATGCTGTTCGGGAAAGCTATAGAAAAAAGACACAAGCAGCAGGGTTGACGGCATGTTCTAGGAGAAAATATAATATACATTTTTTAGTTCTATTGAAGACACTCTATTCCCATTTTTATGGCGCAACCGCAATTACTTAGCTAGCATATTTGTTATCCATCAAAGTATAATTTGATTTTTTTCTTGCAAAATAGAGCTTTTCAATGTGTCAGCAAGATAGAACACAATTGAATGTAGCCAAAGCTAAAGAATTCATGGGCAGACTTCCTGCAAAGGAGGTAAAGGTTCAATCTAAAGTTGGTCTATTTGACATCGAGCGGCTATTTACAGCTTTGATTTTCTTAATTTTTTCGTCTTAAATTTTGTTTACATAAGTGCATTACGCTGGCGGAACTGTGCTACAATTTTGGGGTTGATACATATTACAGAGAGGAATACGAAAAATGTATTGCATGGCTAAGGTAGGTGAAATTTTGGATACAACTGAGATTGGCCTACTTTTGTTTTGAGACAATTCGTTCCGGATTTCTTACAGTAATCTACAGCGTGATAGAGAGTGAGCTACTGGAGAGTCACCATTTCCCAAATCAAATGTTGGAAAACGAGTGATTTGGGGAGATAGGATAGGTATCTAGAATCTTAGGATCTTCTTAATACTCTTTTAGTGTACGTCATATTATAGGCGAAAAGACGAAATTGCATCACCGAGCAATTATGACAATTAGTGTCCGAGAAACATGGTCAAATTTATCTTTCACTCACAATTTTTGCAGGGAAAGTTACGATATTCGGAAAGAAAATGGTTCTTCAGGAGCTAATAAACGGGTGAGCGCCTTTAACTCACAAGTAAAATGTTATCCTTTCATCCACTTACTTTGTCCGAGTAAGAAAAAAAGAGCATGCTCGGCCGTTCAGCTATTTCTTAAAGTGAAAAAAGCTATAGAATACTGTAAATTATAGAGTTAATTTCAACGTTGCTTCAAACTTGTAGTGCTGATCAAATTTCTGGTTACAGCAAGCTACTACTTTGCGTCTCATGGCCAATGCATATCTTGACTGGGACTCTAAACAACATTGGCAAATGGCTCTTAATGCAGCTGGTAGGGAAAAGTTATTTGAATAAAGTATTTTTAATTCTTTTTTTTTAATCAGTCTAAATGGTTGGTTTTGAACATTCGTGTTCTATGCTTGGTTTAATTCCACCCTTGACCCCGATCATTTGTCACCCAACTTCCGTAGTTTTAGTGCTACAGTTTCAATTAAATTTAAATTCAATCCAATCATCATGTTTTCTTTGAATTTTGAAATCTTTCCCAATATATCCAACCCGACTAAATAATATCTCTTCCACTATTTTTTTTCAGACCTTGCGAACTCTGTAAGTGGCGTTGCTTTCTTTTAATACGTTTCATTTCCTGTTTCAAACCTCCTCCGGCTATTGATTCTTCAGCCATGAAATGATAAATTTTACGTCGTGTTTTAGGAGCATGGGCATCCGGCTGGGCTTTACTTAAAAGCCAAACTTCTTTTGATGGGTAATGGAGACGAAGAGTTGCCGTGTTCAAGATTGTGGTCTGGTATGAGGGTCTTAGGAATACTTCTCTCTTAAATTAAGATGAACTCAACTTCCAAAGTAAGTTGTCGTGCAAAGAAATTTTAAAGGATATCTAATCCAAAATAGACTACAACATATTAGTGCGATAAAAAAACAAACAGCCACAAAACATCAACAGAAACAACTTAAACAAAAAAACAAGAAAACAAGGGAGGCAACCATAAACAACGGAAGAAAGAGTCCTTCAATGATGACCACGTAAGGAGAATATTAGGAGCGATTGCAAACCACCTATTAGAATAACGTGGCTCGACGTTTCAAGGTCTGCACGCTGTGACCTATCAGCTCCCTCAATATATAATCATTGGTACGCGTTTATAGCTATAGATTTTGAGGACGAGTCGAACGGGATGCAGATTGAGAAGCTCCATTTAAATTCTCACCTTTCCTTTCACCCAGCATTCGAGGATACTCTCCGGCACCCTGACTTAAAAGTGGATCTTGGGCTTTGTGCTGTAAACCTAGCCGTCCAATACAAGAGGTGAGTGATCTATAATATCGTTGATAGTATGATCAACCATGGTTTGTAATACGCTTACCAGTTACATAATGTATTACCATTTTTACCTTTTGGCAAATGTGGTAGCCTGTTACACTTCTTTATGGAAATAGACATTAAGAGTCGCAGATTTTCCTGTTTATGAGAGAACAAAGCTTGATGAATGTATTTTATTACGTTTTTATCCTCAGAACAGAGCTGGCTTTTGACTGCTTGAAAATCTTGGAATCTAGATTTAAAAATTCTCCCGACCTATACAAAGTTCAGTTAGAGCATTTGGTAAGTTTCAAATAATTCATGGCGTTGGCACAATATTTTGATTCGGTTGCACCCGTTATAGGGTAAAGTTCCAAATCATCTTGATGTAGTTTCACAAGGTATTTAGACGTGTAATTAAAGTAAGAAAATCTTCTTTTGGTTAAAGGTTGGTACAGACCTGCTGCTCCCAACTGTAGTCGAGTTCAATAAAGGACATAGTTGGAGGCAGATAGTTATTATAGCCCGAATTGATCTATTACCATAAAGTCTTAATTACCAAAACTGACCTCAATTTTCTCTCTCTGCTTTCCATATCTAATCCTTGAAGGAACTTCTTCTGAAGAACAACAAAGATGAAGATGCCAAAGCTCTCATCGAAAAATGCATTGTTGGTATGTTTTTTTCCGTTTTTCCTCTTTTGAAATCGCTAAGAAATTTTTGAGTGGCGAGGTCACTGTGACGAAGTCATCAGGGATTCTTTGTAACATGATTGTTATTCTTATTGTAGATTCATTTTCGGAACTTTAAGAAGGAATAAAAGAAATTATAATTATTCTGATTAGACTTTCCGAGAACCACTGCCCATTTCGGATGAGATTATACGTAAAGCAGGAGTACGTCGTTTGTTTACCAGTGATTATTCAAAAAACTCACGTATTCTTGTTAAACTCTGTTATAGCACAGCTTTTTTCTGTATTTTCTCTAGATGAAATGGAGAGGTCTCTCGATTTTCAGATTTGTCAGCGATTCCATATTCTCTTGTGGGAAAAAGCTGCTTCTGCTTACGAGGTTAGGGCAACTGTTGGCAGTTATCATAATCCATTAATTCATTTTCGCACGTAAACAGAATTTTGTTCAACGATGTAATATACTAGCTTTTCTAGGTAGCACCATTAGGCTAGCACTATCATTGACCGACAACTTTCTCGATCTTTCCTTAGAGGAGAAGCTACAGAGAAGCCTTAGACTGGTACAATTACTCTTTGAGCTTCTTTTCTTCAAAAGAGGAAGACATAAAGAATATTGGGAAACTCCTGGTTAGTGGTTAGTTTTTTTAGGCTTAATTAAATTTAATCGAAACGCCTCATTGAAAAACTAAGCAATGACAGGTATTATCTATGATCTGGGTAAGTATGACATATCTTCAGCAGAATTTATAACACTTCAGACGAGAACCTTTTCGCAGGAAAAACCGAACCAAACAGAATGATAAAATAGCAATATAAAAATTATAGTAATATTGGACTCACTTCACTTACAATCAGGATAAGAGAGTTCTCTACCTCTTTTTTACGCAGAGGAACAAATGCTCCTGTTACATGAATCTTCAAGATTACGAAAAGGTCGGTATTAATAGTTAATTTTTAGTCATTCGATAAATGCTGTACTTTCAACATGGTGGATAGTTTTGTACGACTGAATATGAATGCCTCTCCCTTTTCAGTTCTTGTACTTGCGTTAGGCTTATTATCTCCCTGATTTCATCTGACAGGACTGTGATTTATTTCATAGAGCAAACCGGAGTTAACTCCATGAGCTAGTTGATCACTCAATTAAAATCTCATGTTTCTTCCATTTTCTATCTCATACTCCTATGGAAAAGTACCAAATAAACAAACAAAGTTTAAAATAAGGCCCTTTCACTTTCTTCAGCTTATTTTTCTTTGTTTGTTTCTTCGTTTGCTTTATAGGCCAAAGAAGTTATAGTAGAAGCGGAGCAAAGTGATCCTGACAGTCCTGTCATTCAATTCTACAAGTTTAAAATCGCTCTCGCCGAAGGACAAGATGTTGTCGGTCAGTTGTGCATTTGTATTCTTTGACATCTTTTTACGGGAATGTAGTGAGAGGTTATTCTTGTCACTGAGAGGCACGAGCTTACTCAGAAAAAAGGCAGGATAGGTGTTTCAAACCTAAATAGAAAACACGACCCTCCTATTACTGATTCTTGTCTCCCATGTTCTCTCTCCATTGGTTTGTTGTAGCTGTAGACGCAATGACAAAGATAAGCGAGGTTGGTTCAAATCAAGATAATGATGTAGCAGAGACTAATGCTCATGGACTGATCTGTCTTGCTGCACAGCTAGCTCTAGAGGTAAACTTTCATGTTACAAACAGATGGACAGCAAATACGCTCTGCTGTTTACGTTCCAGGTCGGAGTACTGATTGTTCTTCGCTGTATTGTGGATTGAATTGACTCGGTGACACCAATTATTTGAGCGATATCGCTTTTTATATTGATTACTACATAATGACTTGGGATTTCTATAGCACGAAATTAACAAAATGTTAACTTGAATGGACCGTGATAAGAGGGGTGTAGCTAAAATTTATCAAACCCTTGCGCGCATAGAAGATGAAAATAGGAATTTTGAATACAAAGTAAGAAAACTTGAGTTCTTTAAAGATTTAAGGTTGGTACGCAAGTTCCTTAGATACCTTTTATTCCACTAATCTCTTTCCATACATGAACTCTTTCCATATATGCATTCTTTCCATATACGAACTCTTTCCACTTCTGCAAATTCCCACAATAGTGATTTGTTGCTAGAAAGCGCAAGATCATTTTTATCAGAGAAAATGCAGTCTGCAGTCACCAGGATAGACTGAGATAAATGACGTGTACCTTGTCCTTCAGCAAAAGAACCATAACGTAGCTGTCAGTGCCTTAGAAAAAGTCGTAGCGAGCAGCGCCGATAACCAGCAGGTTCTAACCTCACTTAGGTAAGTCATTCAAGTATTTTCCTCTCTTTTCATCACGATCGCGCTTTTGTAATGAAAACAGACAGGTGTGCTGCTGCTGACACGGTTTGATAAGCTAATTTGCTTGACAACGAAAATGGTGCTTGCGTTTAGTCGGTTTCTTTGAGTTTCTTCTTCAATCCATCTCCAGTGCTTGTTGTTCAAAATTGCCACGCTTGGTAATTTTTTTCTGAGACAGGCTGTTTTATCGTAGTGTGAGAGCTCCATTTCACCGAATGTGTAAAATCCGTGACGCAACCCAGTTTTTCATTCTCTACCCAGAAAATTAATAATAGGACGGAAAAATCATGGAGCGTTCCCTTTTTTGGAAGAAAAAGATTAGCCGTGATCGCTAATTCAAAATGTTTTTAATAGGTGCCTGACAAGATTAAAACTGACGCAGTCCACAGATTCTGGAGCAAAGTAAGTTAAGGAGGAATTCTACCTGGATACCTATTATTAAGGCCAGGTAAAAGGAGGGGGTAAAAAAAAAGGTGGATTGAGGGATTACATCCTTTTTGTTACGCATTATTTTACACTATGACAAACACATAAAAGAAAAAAAATTCCAAGAAAAAATGAAAAAACAAAAAAGAAAAGGGATACTTCTATACAAGGTAGCCTTAAGAAAACAGTGTCACTAAACATTTTGTTTAAACACGACTGTTAGCCGTACTTTTTATGTCCCAATGACTGTCTCTCATTGTCAATAAATTCGTTATTATTAATCAGTTCTGCGGCTCTTTTCCATTGATTCAGAAAAGATTACAGCAGCTTTTTGCTTTACCTACAGACCGGTAAGTGTTACACGATTTTAGAAGTCTGATAAGAAGGTTTCAAGTGAAGTGTCCCTTAGATAGAGGTAGCTACCTTACCCCTGTTGGTATAAACGTAACCTTTTATGAATCCACTGGATTCAACTCCAAATATTTTTTTCTGAATCCCAACTAGTGGAAAACTTGATGCACGACAGGATCCTTACTTTGTTCGTAGTTTTTTTATCTGTAAAGTTTGTTCAACTATTCCAGTCAAATCCGCCTCTCATTTTCTTTTTTAGCTTTAGATCGCTTGAATCAGATGGAGCTGGTGAGCGATTCTAATGTGCAAACAGAAGCCGCATGGTTCATGAAAATTGGTAAATTTTTCCTGATTCTTTGATACTCTTGTATTTCACGGGGTGCGAAGAATTATATATTAAGAGGGTTACTCAAGAACGAGGAGAGATCTTAAAATCAGATGTAAGCTATACATGTAATTTGTGCTTATTGTCTTTGACTGATATCCAGTAAACATAGTGAAATGATAGGACATCACGCAGATAATATATAGCTTTAATACATAGCGGGGATGTGGAATATGAGATCACCGCTTCCCGCCCCTTTTGACATCCGGGACATTACTCGAATTCCAGCTTTAACTATGTAAAATAAACACACCTATGTCATAACAGACAGGGAAATGGGTGGGGACAGAGAACAATTCCATCTCAAGTTGTTAAATATTCGGCGCTAGAATTTATTTTCAGCCCTTAATTCTGTGACAGACAAAAGGAATCACTACAAGACAACAACTTAGTTAAAAAAGAAAAATGCCCCCACCCCCCTAAAAAAAATATATATATATATATATATATATATATATATGTATTTATATAATAAGCGCAGTTATGCATGCATTCTGATTGGTTCTCACTTATGATCTATTGGAGGACAGACGTATAGATGACGTCATCGTTAAAACTTTTTTTTCCGTATGTTTTAATTCTTTATTATATAAAACAAATAGATTCCAAGTTGCCGTGCGTCTGTTCAGTAATAGATCACAGATGACGTAAAAAATGTGGTAAGAACATCAGTGACACACTCGGCTGCGCCTCGTGTGCCACTTTTTTGGCAACTTGGAATCTATTTGTTAAATATATGAATAAAACAAAAATAAAACTTATCATAAGCATTATATGGCATTTGCGAAAAAAGTTTCTTTGTTTTTTTAGCGTGGAATCTAGCTTTGGAAAGTACCGATTGTTGTGCAGAGATGCAGGAACTTTTCCTATTCTGTTACAAGGTGTGTGTTTACGAGTTTTTCCTTATTTGTCCAGGGACAATTGTTGCCAGTAGTTTTCTACCGGCCTTGTAATTTTCTTTTAGAAAGAATGACTTACGGGGTGGGCATAGATAATTAGTTTTCAAAAATATTTAGTATAAGTTGTTTACTACTATAACTGCTTGAATGCGATTAATCCAGAAATTGTTACAATTTTTTTTTATTTCAAGTTTTCAAGTCTGTGTCTCATGGAATCATCCAATTTGGTTCGTCAAAAAAATTGTCTGGTAATGGCAGCAGCTTCTGCAGTTCAAGCAGCGAGAGAGCAAATCAGTGGAGATGAAAAGGTTTTGCAAACGTCTTTCAGACTGAGCAGTAAATCAAATAATACAAATATGTAGTACAATTGCGTCAATAACTAGGAGCTTGTATCCTTTAACACTCCGCAAAGGAGGCCGAAATCTCAAACTTGATGGAAGTTCCATCGATGAAAGGGAACAAGCGACTGGTTTTGCTGTTATTCCTTACATTCAGGGTGTTACGGAACTCATCAAGAGAACGTTAAACAACGTTAAAGTTGCTCAAAAACCTTTTCAGACTTTGGGGCTTATTTTTGCCAAACCTAAGGATCCTGTCACGAAAGAACAACGAACCGACGCCATTTATTCTATTCCTTGCAATGACTGTGATAACGAATACATCGGACAGACCAAACGTCAGTTTGGTACTCGTTTGAAAGAGCATCAAAGAGCGGTTTTCGTTTGCAAAAAAGAAAATTCAGCTTTATCGGAGCACAAATGCCTAACTAACCATGCAATTAGGTGGGATAAGTCTATTATTAACTAATTTGGTTCTCTCAAAACGAGCTTTTTTAAATTTTTTTTTTCAGACTAAGCTTTTACGGCAGTGTCTCGGACATGTTGATGCGTGTCGCGTCTTACGAAAGAAGATTGGAATCGGAGGTTTAAATAGCAGCCTGAAAGGTGATAAAAACATTTTTTTGTGCTCCTTAAGCATTTTTCTCCCAAATGATTAGTCCAAAGTCGGATTCAAAGGTTCTGATGCCTTGTTCTAGAATCAAAATTTTTAAAAAATGGATGACCTCTCAAATTACGTACTTCTCAACATATTTGCTCTAAAAATCTAAAGGATGTCCAGTTGCACGAGTAAAGATCTTTTAAATTAACAGTAATTCATATCTTTCAGATGAATCGATATTACTGCTGGCGTTATATGAATTCGAAGCAAAAGCACAACTGGGTGATTCAGACCTCTGTTTCTGTCTTGACGCTGCTGAGGCTCTACTCAACGCAGATCCAGGAACATTTGAAAGCTTTGCTGGTACAATTTTCAAAGTTCAAAATGTAGAAATATCAATTTTTCACAAATACCGATTTTCTAGTCTTTTTCATTTTAATTTTATGAACTATCTTCCCTTTCTGTAGAATTTACCGTGTTTTCTCATTTTCTCTAACTTTATTGGCAATTAATTCGTTCTCCCCTCCTCCTGCTTCTCTAATTTCCACCCGGGGTAGTTTGATTGTGTGGTATTTTAACTTTCTTGTGATCGAATCCAGCGCTTGCAGTTGAGCCGCCTGCTTACCACAGGGAGATAAGCATGAGGGCACTGAGAATTGCGATAAAGAAACACTTAGCTATGGACGTGATTGACTTCACTAAATTAAGGTAACTATGTGTGTCGTTAACAATTCCATCACATTGGTCTAGACGACTTTAACGTCTTAGACAACTTTAACGTCTCCAGCATAAAAACGGCCATTCACGTTATCACTATTTCTAACATACCATTGCCGCGAGCTAAAGCAATTTTCCGAAGCGAATGTACGATACCCTTCTCTTGCTTCTTTTTTGTAGCAAAGCTTTTCATAGTCTGGTGCACCACGCATTAAGTAGTGGTAGCAGCAGTGATGCCGAAAGTAAGGAAGAGGCCTTCGCTGTTTACCAGGACATATGTAAAATCATCGAGAACCAAGCGAAGGTACCCACTAAAAACAAATAGATAACTACAGTATGTTTGGGTCCAAGCTTCAGTATAGACATATATATATAAAACATTGAGGTTGGTAGCGTGATAGCCTTTTGAAAAGGCGGAGTAGGTCACAGGAAACGATGTTAAGATCACACAGGCTCATTTCTACTCCAGAATGCAATTAAATAGTGGTTATCAACCATATGCTGAGTGGTAACCTGCATGGTAACATTTTAGATAGTACGACTGAATGAAGCGAAGAATGTCCGCTTGCAATGAAATAGCTCATGCTCTTTTAAATCCAGGGCTGTTATCCTGAAATTCAGATCTTATGGCTGATGACAAAGGCATGGAACTGTGGAGTAAACTTATTCAGGTACTGCCATAGTGAATGATGAACTTCACAAGCCACAAAAAAGTGTTTCGTTGAATTAAAACAGTTTGCAATGATAAATCTTTCAGCCCAACCATCCAGTCTACCGAATGACTAACAATAGAAAAAAAAAACCCTGTCGAAATCAGAATATTTTTATTGTGGAATTTGAGAGGGGATTTCAGTTTGTTACGAGACGTACAGAAATGACTCGACGGTCAATGGTGTGCCATAAGTGTGCCAACCGATTGCATCTGATGGTGAAATCCCTTTTAATGATAATCCAAAATCATGCGAGAGATGGCTTTAAATTAAAGGCAGATTATAATTTTTTTGTTTAACAGAATGTTTGAGGTTAGCTTTGTTAGATTTCTATCTGTAATTTTGCAACTGTATTGTAAATCACTGCAACTTTGCTATACTTTTCGCGTTCCACTGGTGTAGTCACGGCTTGTATAATATTCCCTAAAAGAAACCAGTTCTTTATTAATTATAAATTAAGCAACTAGACTATAGCCGAGGTAGTTAGAATATTTGAATAATTCTGCAAATGCGCAAAATAATGCAAATCATTCTCATTCTAGCGCTGGCGGTCACGAAGCCGGAGAGAAATGGTGTGGATTGGCCATGAGACTGCTTCATCACTTGTCGACATTTAAGTGTAACTATCAGGATAAGGTATTCCATGTAAAGCCATTTCAAGTGATTAAACTATCCATTTCACTATTTATTTAGTCATTACATTTTCTCTCCTTCTTTAATAGATTGAATCAAAATCAAATAAATTTATACCAGATAGTCATCCATTTCTTGATATTTACTAAAATACAAGAAATGTGACATCCATCAAGATGATATGTAGAGAATAATAAATGGGCGTGCGTAGATATGGAATTTCTTTTCGAGTGTTTAACTCGATAGCTCACGAGTGAGATGGTTATGGCCTTTCTCAGGGTTGGAAATCCTTGTGTAACACCGTAGTTTATATTGTAAAAGGTTTTTGTTTTTACCATAGATGACCAAAGTTTACGGGGATATATTGGATCGTATGGAGAGGAACACATTAAAAGGTCAAGTTGAAGAGTGATGTTGAAGCTACCTGCGTGTACGATCTGATTTTGCTTTTTTCAAGTTCTGTGTGTAATTCGCCTAGTAAATTTGTCAACTTTGTCGTGACCATTAAGTGTTCAGATAAAAAAGGAAACAACAACAACAAACAAACAAGAACAATTATGTGGAGCTAAGTGCAGAAATTTCAGTCATATATCTGAAAGTGTATAAGGCGTTTGAACCAGAAGCAAGGTGAATTTAGAGAAATAAGTTTGGGTTTGGACAATTCAGGTTCGAAATTATTTTCCCAAATTTAACTCTCTCAAAAGTTAACACAATTGTCTCTTTTTTAATGAAATATAATTCAATTTGGTTTATTAAAAGTTTTACCTTTCCTCCACTTAATAAATATAGCTCTCAGTTATTCATCATCCCACATGCCCTTTTTACTATGAAAATAATGAAAAATATTTGGATGTCGCAGTCGATCATATTCCATTCCAGAATAAACGATTCTTTCCATGAAGTCCCAGTCCTCTCCGCCCCATTTCTCGTCAAACGCTTTTTCATTAAGACCACCAACTTTGTCCCAATCACTCTTATAAACACCAACCAATCCAAAGCCCAATGGTTCCCATTTTCCTTCTGGGGTTTCTGGAGTTTTCCCACAACCCAAGCGGATGATAACGGGAGTGTAGACAGAACGACCTTCAAAGCAATGCTGTGGAACAGATTTAGAAATAACTTCATTTTTTAAAGTAGGGTTTTTAAAACGAGAAAGGCATCTTCGACGGTAAACTACAACCGTCTATAATTGCCGTCGTTGACTAATAAGTGATTGTTTCCTAACTTACCACTAAAATAACGTTATTTTATGGTCCCGTCGTATTTGTGCCACCTAGTTTTGGTAAATACCTCCATAAGGATACAAGTGCGATGAAACCTATCGATATTACCCGTCTGCTTTTTAATCTGATAACAGGCCTCGTTTGTTCCCGTTTTTCATGCGATGTACAACTTCAACAGTCTTTGAGTAAACCGGAAAAAGTACTTATCCCTATGTCAAATACAAGCCTGATTTCTGACCTTGGGAATCGAGCTAACATGGAACATACGAATGTAGGAGTTGTGGGTGCAGGCCTACATAAGATCAGTAAGTAAGTTTTGGAATGGGTAGAAATGTGGTTCATTTCTATACCAAAATTACTAATTCCTTTACTTTACATGTCAGTCGTCAGTTTAACGGAAATCTTATGAAAATGTTATCTATGCTCACTTTACGGATGTCGTCAAAGATTGTGGAAGGTAAGTCCAAGTGAAGATCAAGAGTGAACACGATGGTTTTCGGATCCTGAACTTGTTCCACAGCCCTGTTGAAGGATTTGGTACGAGAATAGTGCTTTGCTTCGTGAACGATGACTTTAGTGGGAGGAAGTTTCCTTTTCGCCAGCTCCTGTTCCAGATTCATGTCGGAGCTTTTATAATCGTATATCACTAGACTCACTTTGTTGTCCTTTGAAGCACTGTATATTTCTTCTAAGTTGTTTAGGAAGTGTACCATCCACCGTCCCTGGTTTTTGAGGGTGATAATCAAGGCGATTTTTGCATTTCTATTCCACTGGAATCCCTTGGGATAACACAAGTTGTCGGAGCCTTTGGGCCAAAAGACAGATTCTGAAAGCATGACCAGTTCGTTTTTTCCCGTGACATTTATTAGGAACTCAAGAAAGAATCGACTTCCCAACTTCGGATCGACTTTTCTTTCCACGTTAACGAGTTTCACGACCTTGAACTTTCTGCATGATAAAGTAAAATTGTCGCTAAATGATAACAATAACTACAACCACAACAACAACAATAATAATTATAATTTGAGCCGAGAAATTTCCGAGATTTAAATGATTGACAGTATCACTATTTCAGTGTAAAAGTGGTATATATAACAGCAAAAATAGACGATATAACAAGGTTACCATGACAACACTGACACAACAACGATTTGCTTTTGTCAGTTTCAAAACAATGGCGGCAAGATTTCGGGAAATTTCCGGTGAGGAAATACAAAAGCTCGCCGGAAAAAACAGTAAAACAAAAGTACAGTCAAAACTAGAGACGTGGATGAACGTTTGGAAGTCGTGGGTAGAAAGCAAGGGTCTTAACGATGATGTTGTCGAATACGAAGGTAAGGAACATGACAAATGCCTCTCGCGATTCTTTGCCGAAATTCGCAAAAGCGATGGCTCCGACTAACTACGGGACAGCCTAAGGGCTACGTTAGCTGCCTTCGCCATGCACCTCAAAAACATCCATAACGAACGACCAAGAATTTGTTAAGTGCAGAATGTTCCCGGAAGAAAAAAAAAAGAGCTCTTCGCGAAAAAGGCCACGGAAAATGGCTAAATGCAACAAAAGCCCCTACCGTCCTCGAGAAGCTGTGGAAAAATCGTGTACTTGGCGAACAAAACCCAAATTCACTCCCCCATACTTTCATTTTAATCTTTGGGGTTGCCAGGAGCACCATGAAATTTTTGTCGAAGATTTCAGTTTAAACAAGGACGATCAAGGTACAGAGTGCGTAAAATTCGAAGAAAACCCAATAAAGACCCAGCAAAACTGTCTAAGAAAGAAACGAAGAGCCACCCAGCCAAACATCTTTGCCACTGGAGGTCCCCCTTTTTACTCCACTTCTTTAAACATGTCTTTCCCACAGACCTGAAGAAATGCGAAACAGTGACCCATATTATCTCGCCATTATAGAAAAACCGAAATACGAAGTGTGATACAAGAATCAAAGGAAAGGTTTCAATAAGGTCGACTTCTTCATAAAAAAGTATGGCCTTGACCTGAGGGAAGAAAGTTACCCAACCATTTGGTAAGAAAAACGCTTATGAAGAAGCTGAAGGCCTCGAATCATGCAGCCAAGAACTGCTATCATCGGTGTAACAGGCCACACAAACTACGAGGAAGGTCACGAAGCAAAACAGCGACAGATCTCATCTATTATCAACCTTCCTGTCTGCCAAAACGTTTAGAATTCCCTTCCAGTTCTTTCCTGTTTCCCCATTCAGTACAACCATACAGCGACTCCAGCCTGCCAAACAATAGTCCACCACTTTCATGGCTGCCAGGTGACGATAAATTACGGAGCTGGCGTTGGTGTTTTTCAACAAAGCAGTAGTTAAATACTAGGAGAAACTTGCCCGTACCTTAACTTAATTGTGGTTTCGCTTCACCGCTGCCGTGACAGCAAAAACCGTGATTTTAGAATTTCTTCCATTGAACTAATTCATGTTTTTTGCCTTCGATAGTTTGTACTGGTTTCACAAAAAACCGTCGACCGCCATTTTTCTTCTTTGAGGTAAAGAGATTGTTACCAATACAGACGCCTGCGTATTCTTTTTGTTTGTTTGTTTTTCTTTTTTAACTGTCACGAAATAAAGGTTTCCTGTGCGTTACCGAAAATTTCTCGGCTTCTCTTATAAACAAATAATGGTATAACCAGTGCGTGGTATTACGACTTGTAATATTTCAAAATTGTCCAAAATACCACTCACCCTTCGCGGCACGTGGCATTTTGAACAATTTTGAAATATCACTCGCGGTATTATTGCCAAATACCACTACAAGTCATGCTTTTACCTCTACTAATATTAATTAATATTGATATGATAACCCGGGCCAGTATCTGTAGGAGATATTGGGTTATCATGTCGAGTTCAAAGTCTGCCTGCCTTAAGCCCCTTGTCCATGTAGTGTTCTCAAACATCTGCAGACTCAGAAAGAAGTGCCTTCTTTCGCAGATTGTTTAAAAAAAATGTGTTATGGAACAATTATTTAATTCGTTTTTCAAATGATAACTCATACCTCGGCATTGATAATTCATGCTGTATCATGCTCAACTTCGTCCAATAATAGGTATTTGCATTGCCTCATCCTTCGGCTTCGGCAGACAACACAGTTGCGAGATTTAATAATTTTTGATATCATGCGAAAAGCGAATCTAATAATTGCTTTATTATACATTTTTAATAATAATGTGCAATAATCAGCGAAAGAAGACGCTCTCTCTGAGTTTGCAAAGGTTGAGAACACTTTACGGACGAGGGGCTTAGTGTAATATCCGCTGTATGGGGTTATCATGTCAACTTCACACGCTTTGTATATTGATTGAATATTCTCGAACACTCAAATTTTAATGGTTAATAAAAATAATAACAATAATGATAATATAATCGACTGAGTCAGTTCTGTTTTAACTGGTTCATTACAACGTTGAAAGCCACAAGATTTTAGAATAAGGCAAATTCGCCCATCAGTTGGTTGAGGCCAAAACAGCCTACAGCTGGCCAAACAAACCCTCATGTTTTTGGTGTAACGCTCGCTGTTCAGGTGCTAACGTAGCCTAAGAAGCTGCAAGCCAAAGAAAAAATGGAAAATATGAAGATTTTTGCAGCTTGAATGTATTTGGCCTTCTTGCACGCTTGCGTGATTATTCACACTGTAAGGTTACCTTTTTTTTTTTGGTTCTTATTTTCTCAAAGCCGTCCAGTGCGATGATAATAGTAATAAAGTTTATGTTATCGGGCAAAAATACATTTGGCCCCTCCAAGAGCTCATTTTAACCCTCGTTTACTGGCCCGGCCTAAAAGGCTCTGATTCGGGCCTAAGACATATCAATGCCCACGACCATAGAGTCTACTTTTATAAAAAAAATAAATAATAATAGTAATATAAAAAAAATTTTAAAAAAAACCGAGCCAAGCGTGTATCTACTCACCCTGGGTGGTGTTCATGTAGAGCATCCACATACTTCTTTGCAGCTTTTTTTGCGATCATCATATCCAAACTATGATTCGCTAATTCTGGATAATATTCCACCACGCTTTTATACTCAACATCTGGGTAACTCTTTATGGGAATAAAGTAACCGTTTAGGAAGTCGTAACCCCTTTTCGGGCCTCTGGGTGCTTCTTTCATGGTTAGATAACTTGGTTCATAAGCGCAATGAGGCAATACGTTGGCAACTTCGTCGTGAAAAAGGTACACAGGTCTGGATTTGGTGTTCGTTTCTAAGCTTTGAAAATGACTGTGCCTTGATTTACAAGCGGGACTTTCTGGAACAGAGTTGTAGTTATTTTCCGTTACACTGTTGTCAATGAATAGAGAAAGGTTATCGGCGGGAATCGTCTCAAATTTATCTCTTTTCATTCCAGGCAGGCTCCATGCGACTCGAACAAAATCATCTCCTCCCATTTGAAGATGAAGAATTTCTATGAAATATTTGTGACCCATTAACAACTTTATTTCGATGGAAACTTGTGTGGGCGAAAGCTGAAAATTGTTTCTGGTGGTCCATTCACTCAGGCTACAAATCAAAACAGCATTTTCTGGGTATTCGTTTGAGCTGAGCCACAGTTCAGAGAAGTCATCGGAAGCTAAAGCAAATTTATAATATCCTGTTTTCGGCGGGTGTAGAAACCCAAAAATTCTCTGAGCATAATCACTTTCATATCTTGAAATATCCAATGAGTTTACAACGGTTTTCACGTCTGGTGCCTTTGGAAACAACGGGTGATAACAAAGAAGTTGAATTGAAGATTGGCAGAAGTCGTTCCAGATATGGGTATTCGCTCCCAATAACTCCATTTTGGCTGCTTGATTGGCGACTGCGAACCTTTTCCGGTAATTCGAGTTCAATTTATAACTTTCATTGTCAAAAGAAACATTAAATTCAACTGATATCCGGTGCCTTACTGTTACTAAAAACGTTCCACAAATGACAAAGGCTGCAAATGCTAGAGTAATGCTCTTGGTGAGTCGCTTTCTGCGAAAGAGAAACATAAAGAATTTACACAGTGGCTTCATGGTTCTTACTTTTAAAATAAATGGCCACTATTTAGCTTCGTATGTTAATCAATCACCTTGCGTGTGTATTTTGACACGGTTCGGACAGATTTTTACAAACTTCACTAAATCACTTAGATACGCTCCAGCAGAAAAGTTTTATTACTTTATCGTTGTTTGCAAAGCCTGCGTCATTTGTTTATTTATTTATTCACTTTTTTTTTAAATCAAAAACCTCTTTAAGGAAAAAAATAAAAAATGCTCTTCTTACCAGGAACTGAGACTGTATTGACGCGACAGGTTCAAGAGTTTGCGATCTCTTTAAAATTAGATCATGGACTCGTCGTTTCCATGGTATCATAGCCTACTTATTGCGTTAATATATCAAAAAGTTGCCCAGATACGAGTGTCCATTTAAATGCGTCGAATGTTTTGAATCCTTTGAGGCCTTTAATTTTGGTGTGCTTAAAACCGAAATACTCATCTTTTAGATTTAAATATTCACTCAAATTAAATGCACCATATTTCAAAGGTGAGAAAAAAAAAACTTCCTAGTAAGAGTATAAAATCCCCTCAAAGAACGATATTCTCTGGTAAGCTACTGTAATCTAATGCTAACCATGATAGCCTAGTACAGTGCTTTGTCTATCTAGTAGTTATTTTTTTAATGTTATGTTATAGTTGTGTTTCAGTTTTGTAGTACTTTTGTAAACTGTATGCCGATTTTTAAGTATCAAATGATTAAACGTACTATTTTAATGTTTAAGTTTTTATTTGGAGTTGATTGTTTTGGTGAATAAAATGAATATACAACAAGGGGCGATACGAATTTTATGGAAAATGTGTCCGTTTGGTATTTATCAGTACGAGTTGGCAGGTATCACAAATCGAACGAATGTGCAATGCGAACGAGTGTGATTTCTTATACAAACCAAAAGTGCGTGAATACCATACGGACCGAGGGAATATCAAATTAGCTACCCCTGCTGTTCAACTTCTTTTTTAATTACAAAATTCCTCAAACGTCCTGACATTGGCCGGGACCAACTTCAAAACAATTTTATCCTGTACAAAACAAAATATCCTTAGAGAATTAGAAGCATTCAATTACGGTGCTTGCAAAAAGTCAGTGTGACGAAATCTTTCCATCTTTCAGGTCGGTTGGATTTGCTCTCAATTTTTTTTCCTTGAGCGTCCAAAAATTACCAAGGTGATGAGCCATGCATCAGAAAACTTTAAAAGCACAGACCTTTTAGGGAGAAACGAAGGGCAAGAGGGCAGTTGCATTTGCTTTGGGAACGCTTTGTACTCAATCAATCAACTGGATATATCTCATGCTTCAGCACTTTTAGCCAGCCGCCCGCTGACAAGTAATGTCCATATAGCAAGCACTCTAATCGGTGCTGCCATTTTACGCTTTAACCCTCTAAGTCTCATGAGTGACCAAGACAGAATTTCTCCTAACAATATAAATACAATACCAAGCATTCAAGTAATGAGAATAACGAAAAATATCAATTAGGGGAACAAGTTGATTCAGTACCAAATTCTCCAAAATAACATCACAAGAACAGTATGGCAGACAGTAAGAAGAATTACTAATGAGATCTTGAGAGTTAAAGGGTTAAAGTATCCAGCCGTGCTCTTGCTCTATTTTCACATTTCAAAAATTCATGTCCGTCTCAGTTCGTTTGGTGAATAACGGAGCAGCCTATTGGTGGGTGGAGATATTTTTTACAGCGGGCGGTGGGGAACGGTGTACGACGATAACTGGGATATCACCGACGCCAATGTAGTACGTCGTGATTTGGGTTTCTCCCGTGCAACTGCTTCTGCTCATCCCAGAGCGAAATGCGTACCGTCAAGGGTCTGGTGGTGTCTGGACGGATGAAGTCAGATGCCAGGGAGGAGAGCTAGATTTAAGTCAATGTTCACACAATGGGTGGAGACAGGGAGATTGTGGCTGCTCTCATAGTAAGGGCCCAAGCGTTGAATGCACTTGAACTCTCGGTTTCTTAACATCATCATAAGTTTTTGCATATTCTTGCATTTAAATCGAGCACTTTTTTTAAGATTGCTGGTTTGTATGGCATTGAAGTCGTACAGCCGAATGGATATCCACTATTATTGTAGGAGAGTGCGAGCTACCATCTTGAAGAAGGTCAAGGGCTTGTGCCCCATACAGAACTAACACTTAGGACTCGAAAATATTTAAGGAAAATCTGGCTTGCCCTTGTAATGACATGCATTATATCCTTATCCTCAGGAGTTTGTGTTTTGTAGGCGATGCAAACAAGATCAAGCACTATTCACAAAGAGAAGCACGCAGACCTCGGAGTCACAGAGTGGTCTTTTTTTGCAGTACTGTCATGGCTCGGCTTGGGCTAGAAATACTCGGATCGAGGGAGTAGTAGTAGGGTAATAGTGTAGCCTTGGACAGCCAAACGCGAAGGTCTGAGTTTCAATACTTCACAAGGGACCGAGATTTTTCTCTTTTTTCACTCTCATTCCAAATGCTGTACAACTTTCTCTATTCTGTTCGACAACTGAGCTGAAAAGTTAGATCGGCTTTTATGTCTATTTTCAATGAACTTAATCACCTCTAGTAAGCAAACGGGTTCACTGAGGTAAATTACCTGCAAGCAGAAGGATAATGCCACGTGAAAGTATGATTTCGTTTTAACATTAGTTTACGCTGCTAATTGATTCAAACAAACGCGACAAATACTATAGTGGTGTTTTTTTAGTGCTGATGTGTGTGAAGCCACAATATCCTCAAAAAAATCGATTATGGTAAAAATTCAAACTTCCGCATCAAGAATTCTGGATTATTCGCTCAACTGTGATTGGTAACAATATAATTGTATAAACCGCGTCAGATTGTGCTATTCAAGCCAGAGGCTATTCCTGCATGCATCCGGCAAAAATAATATATTGAACGAGAAATATCGACCGCAAAGTTTTTTTTATATTTTTTATTTGTGGACGACAGTGTTGTTACATGTATGTACTTCTCTGTTTTTTTTGTTTGTTTGTTTGTTTTTTACTTTTTAAAGAGCGGCATAAAATTTAAACGTAGCTTTTTTGAAACAGCGGAGATCATAGTTTCATCCTAGGCCTTAAGCTGGTTTCATCAAGACGCGTAGAAAGCTATGCTAGTTAGTATTCCAAACCCTAGAAGTCTCTATTCCAAAGATGATGATCTCTATTAGAACTATCATTTGTTAGATGCTAATTGAAATAAACTCCATATATGCGAAAACAATATATTATCACTTCCTTAGACAAATGCATTCAATATATTTATTATCAAAAGTTTTAGTCACCTTTAAAGTCATCATTGGCACAGATGCCATGCAATGATGATTCTGAAAGCAACCAACAAATGTGACTTTCAATCGAGCGCACAACATGAAAGGAGATAAACTTTTTCAAAAGGCAATTTCGAAAGCCAAAGAATGCTTTTTGAAAGACTAGGTAAGAAAATCCTGTAATAACGTTGACTTCAAAACTAATTAAACCCTTTTGCTACCTTAAACTTTGTCCAAAGAAATCGCAATACATTTTTGACCTCAATCAATACGATGTCAACTGCATGGAAGGTGACCACTACAAGGCTAAGAACGCAGTAAACAAAAAAAATAATGCCTCTATGTTCTCCTACATGATGAAAATTGCGTCCAAAGCACAAGAAATCCATTGCTCTTTGTCAGAAACCTTCAAACAAAGAACTGTAGTGAAGTCCATAAGCCATCTAAATGGGAAATCGAGGGAGGAAATCTTCGAAGAGGATAGCCTTACTGTAGCCAGATGAAATGCTAATGCGTATACGTACAGAACAGGCGCTTTAAAAACGCGAAGAAACGCAATTTGTGATGAGATAGATAAGTGTATCGTGCAAACTGGTGGGAAGCTAAGATCTATGAGGGGAGATCTCATTGTTGACGTTAATCTATCGAACTGGAATCTCATCTAGAGAGAGAAGTACTTGCAAACTCATGGCCCTCTCTCCGACACAAATGTGATATTGCAATAATGCAAGTTTAAAAGCCCTAGTTCTAAAAGTAATAATGACCAAGGTCGTTATTTCTCTTTTGTGAATAAATTTTTTGTAGATAACACACGTTTTCAAGACCATCGTAAATTTAAAGGAGCAAACCGACCCTCCTACGATGACGGGCTGCGTTTGAAATAATTTGGTCCAAGTGTACAAAAGTTATGAAAATCCGAAAGAAAAGTAATATAAAAGGAAAAGGAGAATAAAATGGTGAGGCTAAATCTGAAGCATGCCTGTTTCACCATTGTTGTTTCGAGCTCTCTGTACTGTACTGTCTTTAAGAGAAGTAGAGCGAGCCCTTGTGAACGTGTCGATAATTTAATTACAACTTAGGGTTGGAACACGTTCAGATTTCCAGTAGCTGTTAATTAATTGCTTCCCTATTTACTTTTTTTTTCCTTTTTTTCTTTCCATTCCTTTTTTTTTCGTTTTCTCGATTTTTTTTCCGTTAAAACTAAGCAGGCATCTCATTCAACCGTAGTAACAGAGTTCTGTTAGGAGACTGAGGCGACTCGGCAATATGCCAAGTGATGCAAACTCAAGTTGTTTTGTTTCGTTTGTTCTGCTTTCACTCTTTTTCCTCAATGGACTTTTCAAACATAATAACAGAAACAGCCAGCATAGAATTGATTTCTTTGAAGTATATCGGTTCTTCTTGGGCAGGCGTCATGAATGGCCTAGCTTCTTGGCTGCTTTGGAAAGTCATGTGGTTCATGAATATCACGTGAGCAGCAGGATGCAAAGA